TTGACCGAGGGAGCGAGTCTACTTCATATGTACACTTCAGGCAGCTCCATATACCACAATGCAACAAGATTGTGACGTCGCCGCCATAGACAGTAAAAGAAATGGACACAGCGACCCCATAGACTTCAACAGAGAAAAGTGAAGTCAATTAGAGCGACTGCACAGGCTCAAACTGAGCTTGACGACGTAGATGTGACGTGAGCAACCTGTCTGACAGTTGTAAGTCTTCTAGTAGCTGTGCCAAGAGGAATCTGAATCATTCCCTTCCGAATCTTGCAGAGACGGAGAGCGTGAGTAGGAGCTGTCCATGAGCTAGCAGCAGGATCAACTTTATGACTCTCTATGGGCTCCTCCCTTGACTTTATGCCTCCGCGTCCCCCCGATTGCCTGTGAGCTTCTCCTCCTGTCTACGGTAATTTCTCTACTGTGCGACAGAGAGTTGCGTGGTTATGACGCAATCGTTAGCCTATTTTTACAAAAACGGCTTCTACGGGCCATAACGTAAGATACAAGGTAATGGAGCCTTTTATACATTGTGTCGTGTTTTTTTAGAAATAAATAATGGACAAATGGAGTCTTTAAACGTCTCAGATGTAAAGTTATTCGCTGTCAAAGTGACGCCAAAATGAATGGGAGTCAATGGAATGCTAACACCAGGTGATGGCTTGCTAACCAATGGCTGCCCCCATGGGAGGTGCGCTTTCCGGGTGCTGGATTACCCCCTTGGTCGCCGCAGATCTCGTCTAATCACCACCACCACAAACAACTATATTAATTAGGGATGTCCAGATCCGATCACGTGGTTTCAGACTCGATCGGAATCGGATGTTACCTCCCGATCAGGACTCGGACACATATATATGTATATTATATTCTAATTTTTTTAACACATCTATAGTTATGCAGTGGCACAGAGTTAGACCCTTTTGACTCCAAACAGAAACAGCAACGCGTGCGGCATGACATCACTTTGTTGCAGAGACACTATTGGTTAAATGCCGGCAAAGTAGAACACGGAAGCAGCTTGAAGCGTAAAGCGCGAGTGTGTCTGCGGTCTGGAGGTATTATAAAGTTGATGACAACAACATTGCCATAGCAAACTGTGTGATATGTAAACTTGGGATTGCAAGAGGTGGAAAGGAAAAGGCTACATTTAACACAACAAACCTGATACGGCACCTCAAAAATAAACACCCGACACAATACAGCGAGTTTACCCAGGCAACCCAGCCGAAGACGAGTCAGCTCCCACTGCAGGAGAGTTTGAAGAGGAGAGAAAAAATGCCCCGTGACTGCGCGAAGGACATCACAGCCAAGATAGCACAAGAGTTAGGAGTGCAGTTCCTAAAAGCACATTACTGGCTTTGCAAACACTGTGGCACTTTTATTTATTTTTAATTTGTTTACATGCCTGCCGGGTATTTTAAGTTGAGGTGCTATTTGTTTTTATATTAGACTTTTTTAAAATATATTTACTGTTGCACTAAAGTCCAAAAGTGAAGAATTTATGTTATTTATTACTTGATTGTTCAAGCTACCTCACAGAAGTGCTCTGTTTGTTAACAGAGTTGTTGAATGTTAAAATAAGGTGAATTAAATAAAAAAATGAGGAACATCCTGGATCTTTTTATGTATTATAGAAGTATCGGATAGGGATTCGGTATCGGTAGATACTCAAAATCAAATGACTCGGACTCGAGGGCAAAAAAACCTGATCGGGACATAATATTAATTATATATTTTTTAATTTAAAACAGCCCAAACAAACATATATACATTTGGATGCAATCAACTCAACAATCAACGTTATAAAAAGGCTCTAAAAGCAGCATCTTTTAGTTTAGCATCTCCGCAAACTAATAGAAAATAACCAAAATAATCCAAAGGTTTTTATTTAACACCGTGGCTAGACTAACAAATAAACAGCCATCACCAGAACAAAATATTCCGTTACAGTGTAGTAGTAATGATTTTATGAATTTCTTCACTGAGAAAATAGAAAGCATCAGAAACACAATTGTAAATGTACAATCTTTTATGGTGTCTTATGATTCAGCCTCAATTATCGCCCCTCAAGAACAACTACACCGCTTTACAACTACAGGAAGAGCTAAATAAACTTATCATTGCATCTAAACCAACAACATGTTTACTAGATCCAATACCCACTAAACTACTGAAAGAAGTGTTACCTGTAGTGGAAGAGCCTCTTCTCAATATTATTAACTCGTCTTTATTTTTAGGTCATGTTCCAAGAATATTCAAGCTGGGAGTAATAAAACCTCTCATTAAGAAACCGCAATTAGATCCAAATAACCTAGCAAATTACAGACCCATTTCAAATCGTCCATTTATGTCTAAAATACTCAAGGGGGTAATCCATCAGCCGGAAACTGAAGTCTCCCCGGGCGCCGCCATTGGCTAACAAGCCTTCACCTGCTGTTAGCATTCCATTGACTCCCATTCATTTTTGAGTCACTTTGACAGCGAATAACTTTACATCTGAGACGTTTAAAGACTCCATTTGTCCATTATTTATTTCTAAAGAAACACGACAATGTATAAAATGCTCCATTACCTTGTATCTTACGTTGTGGCCCCGTAGAAGCAGTTTTTGTAAAAATAGGCTAACGATTGCGTCATAACATGCGACTCTCTGTCGCATAGAAGAGAAATGACCGTAAAGACAGATGTAGAAGCTCACACACAATCGGGGGACGTGGAGGCATAAAGTCAAGGGAGAAGCCCATAGAGAGTCATAAAGTTGCTCCTGCTGCGAGCTCATGAACAGCTAATACTCACGATCTCCGGCTCTGCAAGATTCGGAAGGGAATGATTCAGATTCCTCTTGGCACAGCTACTAGAAGACGTACAACTGTCAGAACGGTTGCTCACGTCACATCTACGTCTTCAAGCTCAGTTTGAGCATGCGCAGTGCGCTTGGCAATCAGGAAGTGAGTGCTTCTATTTGACTTCACTTTTCTCCGTTGAACTCTATGGGGTCGCTGTGTCCATTTCTTTTACTGTCTATGAAAATACTAGAAAAAGTTGTGTCCGCTCAATTGTGCTCTTTCTTGCAAGAAAATTATATCTATGAAAAATTTCAGTCAGGATTCAGACCGCATCATAGCACAGAAACTGCGCTAGTTAAAATTACAAATGATTTACTTTTAGCTTCTGACCAAGGCTGTATCTTGGCCAAGGCTGTATCTTATCAGGGGGGTTAATGTGGCTCTCAAAGAAGCTACTTACCAGACAAAAAAAAAAAAATCCGCTGATTGACCTCGAACAGCTAAATCTAGGTCTGTCCCCTCAGTGCAGGGCAGTTCCCCAGCCTCAGTATGGCCTGGTAGACTTGTAGAATGGCAGCCCAGCAGTTTATTGAAATGCCAGTCTGTCAATCAATTTATGGCAGCAACAGCAGAGCCGATCCTGACCTCCCTGGGGCCCTAAGCAAAAATCTGTTAAAGGGGTGGGGGGGGGGGGGTGGCTGACTTATGCACCCTGTATTTTAAGGAATAACATTTATTTATTTATGATACATTATTCATACACAAAGAAAATTGGTGTCCTTAAAGGTTGGATTTTTCCTAATTTTTCTAATTAAGGCATTAAGATCAATTTCCAAAAGATGATTTTTTATTCCTCTTTTTAGGCAACTTTAGCATGGTAATAACTTATTCACACCACTGTATATATGGTCAATGTCAATAGATTGCTTTCCATCTTGCTTTATTGCAGAGTTGTAACTAAACTGACTTGGAGACTGTCTTGTTTGAAAAGTATGAGCGCCTAATGAGGAGTGCCATCACGCCCATATTGTACTGGTGACTGGTGCCCATAGTCTAGATGTTTTACTGGAAAGTGCGCGTTTCATTTCGTGCACGCGCATATGAACTCATGTTAACGCGCGACGCGGTAATCTTTTCCGAGCTGCAGTTTATAAACAAACACCGTTGCCCTTTGTATTATCAAACGTAATCTCGTGAAAGTGCGTATCTATAGGCCTACCACGAATTTAATTTCTCGTGCTATTTATACGCCAAAAAATGTTTTTTTGCGTGCATATGCTACGCACTGTAAATCTCTTGGGTAGGATTAGGGGTGTGGTCGAGTGCGTGCATATTACACGTCAAAAAGTGCGTATCATATGGACGCGAAAACTGCGTAGGCCTATATCAGATATGCACGCAAAAACTATTTTTGGCGTATAAATGGCACGAGAATTCGTGGTATAGATACGCGCTTTCATGAGATCGGGCTGGTTAGACAGATAGAGAGAGATGCACATCAACTTAACTTTACGTATAAGATAAGATAATAACTGACAGGACTTGAACACATTAATTCACACTAATAACCACAAATTAGGCTATAATATTGTGTAGCATTATAAAAGCGCAATGATCTCATCGCGAATGCGATTCGTGTATTTTCCTAATGCGCATGAGTCAGAAATTAATTGAACTATTGAATCGGTTCTTTGAATCGATCAATTGAATTAAAAAAAGTAACCGCTAAATCTGCTTAGCTTGCTGGCTGCGCTCTGTGACGTTTCTGCAAATAATTTTTCCAAATAATCAGCAAACTTTCGACGGGACACGGAGATAACTTGATAAACATGTAAACACTCATTTATAGCGTGCATTTACATCGGATTAAGTTCAGTGTTTTACATTTAGTGTTATGATTTTGCACTTGCTAATTTTGCTTTACGTTAACGTTACGATGTTCAGTTCACTTCCGATTAATTTTTGTTGTGTGTTATATGACTTCAGACTGATAGATAATTAACATCCAGAAATGAATAGTTGTTTAATCTACAATTAATGTCCTTTTAACACATTCACATTCTTGAAGTGATTGCAAATATTTTTTATCTTAGCCCGCAGCATTGCGTTCGTGAAACGTGATTTTTCGCTTGTTATATAATAAGAAATGTTTCCAAATTACTGAATTTTATTTCTCCACTGTACAACAGGGATCCTACTGAGTTGGTGATGGAGATGGGAAACCCCTCAGATCTGAGTGTCTCCATGCTCTCGCCATCATCAGACCTGCCAATCATAGATCCAGAACTGTGGCTAGACTCCAGGCCTGATTCAAGTAAGAGAAATAGCACGTTGAAGCTAAGCTGTTCCTGTTTTTGTGACTTTCTGAATGTCCAAAACAGAATTTATGCCTTTCTCATTTTATACAGAAAGCAGAAAGACCTCCACATTATGCCCTTTAACCTCTGTCCGTCCTAACACAGAGGATGCTGAGCTGAGATCCAGTGTCTCTGTGAATAAGTGCCGTGTGTGCAGGAAAGAGTTTAAAACCAGCTGTGCTCTTAAAACACACCTCTTGATCCACAGACATGAAGGGCCACATATCTGCAGCGTCTGTCAGAGAGCATTTAAAAACTATCATCAGCTGTAAGTATCACATGTGCTGGCATCTCAGTGATTCAGTTATGGCCATTTATTCAAATATGGCCATCAAAAATAAATAAATAAAAATAAGGTTTAAATTAACTAACTAAATAAACATGATTAAAATAATATTAAAAAATTAAAACAAAAAAAGTTATTGAAATATAAATAATACACTAGTACAGTACAACCCCATGTGACATTTACTATTAAGTGAATAGTGAATGAGTAAAGGATTAAGTGGCTTCGAGTGAGCATATGTACGTAAGCAATAAGCTACGAGAGGCTGTGCTGTATCGTGAATAAGTAACGGCTGAGCCGTTACTTATTCACGATACAGGACTTACCTCGAGTACCTTATTGCTTTTATAAAACGGTTACCACACAATAAAAATATTAAAGAAAAAAAAAATGTATTAGTGCAACTTTCATGAAGTAAAATCACTAAAAGCCTTCCTTCTGCTAGAAAAAAAAGTCCCTGACCGTGAACAGCAACAACGTTCCAATGTGTAATATGCATGAAAGCTCAAATAGAAACAACATAGGAACTGCAGTGTTGCGCAGTGATAAATAGAACCGTTGGGTGAAGCGGTCATAGCCGTGCTTTATCATGAATAAAGCACAGCTATTGACCAATCAGAATCAAGGATTGGAACTAACCGTTTTATAATAATGTATAAAATACAATAATGCCTATCATGCATGTCATTTACTACCTCAACGGGATGTTATGATAGACCTTAGCTATCTCCCATTCACCGCTACATAAGTTTACCCTACTGTGATGAGTTTCGCTTCTGAAAAGCCCGGAATTGTGAAAAGGGTCCATAAGGATTTGTTCAGTTTTACTGACCACACCAACAAATGAATACATTTTAATTTTTTATTAAAAATGTATTTTTTCGAAAATGATTAATATTTTTGGTGATTAATATTTTATATTAAGTGTGTTTTGTCACAAAATCATGTTTGTTTGTTTGTTTGTCATAAAAATAGGAAATTTGTAACAAGCTGGAAATAATACAGCTATAATTATATCGTAACTCCATAAATTCATTATACTAAAAAATGATGGCATGCAATGCAAAACATTACTGATTGGTTAGTAGCTTCCCCACCATAAGTTTAACATTATTTTGGCGACGAACAATCAGAATTTAGTGCATCAATATGGAATACACCACAGAAAACCAAATCTTTTTGTCTGCAAGATATAATAAAATAGATATACTCGCACCTTTACTCGTTCACTATTAACTTCATAGCAAATCTCACATGACGTTGTAAAATAGATGTACAATTCTACAGTTGCGCCACAACACTGATCCAAAACACTCTCACGCTAGTCCCGGGCCAGTGGGCCATCCCTATGTACAGTATTGTGCAAAAGTCTTTGGCACGTTAGTATTTTCACCCTCAAAAAATGGTTTTAAGCTAGTTATTTATATCTTTTGCTCTAGTGTGTCAGTAGGACAACAGCCGGTGCTCCACACGAAGATCTGATCTCATCATCGAGTCCATCTGTGATTACATGAAGAAATAGAAAAAACTGAGACAAACTAAATCGAGAAGAACTGCGGAAACGTCTCCAAGACGCTTGAGGAAACCTTCCTACCAAGCCACAGTACTGTAAAAAGTTTTAGGCACTTATGTTAAAATGCTTTAAAGTGAGGATGCTTTAAAAAATAATTCCATAAATAGATTTTATTTTACAATTAACTTCTATTAACTAAATCAAATCATTATTTGGTGTGACCACCCTTTGTGTTTAAAACAGCTTTTGTCCTCAGTATACTTGCACATAGTTTTTCAGGTAGCTTTGCAGGACGGTTTCTTCAAGCGTCTTGGAAATGTTGCCGCAGTTCTTCTGGATTTAGTCTGTCTCAGTTTTTTCTGTTTCTTCATGTGATCCCAGGTGGATTGATTGATAAAGGTAATGAGATCAGATCTCCCAGTGGATCATACCGGCTGTTGTCAGACTGCATTTTCTGGATTATTACAATTAATGGCAAAATGAATATTTGGAAATGTAAACTGATATTTCCTACTTACACACTAGAGCAAAAGATATAAATAACTGGCTCAAAACCATTCTTGTAAATTTACTGGATATTTCTTACACTGTCTGAAATAACTGATCCAATTTCATCACTTACCAAATGACAGGGTGTACAGTTAGTCAAAGGTAAACAAATCGAAATTGCATTGTATACAAATCCTTTTTTTCAGTGTCATTGTCTCCTTATTTCTCCATAGCACTTCCCACAGGATGACCCACCACAAGAGGAAGACATATCACTGCACTCAATCTGGCTGCCACAAAACCTACAGTGACAAAAACTCCCTAAAACATCACTGTGCGTCTCGACATGGACTCCACCTCACGTCTCCCTCCTCCACCAGCTACGCTTACAACTATGACCTGCCGGCCTCGCCGTGGGAGCCTACGGTTAATCGTGCGGCGCGCGGCCTCTTCAGCGCTCAACCAAAGCCTGTTTTAGCTCCTGTGCTAAAAGAGCCCAGTTATTCTGGAAGACCCAAGCTTGGGTTGGGGTGCTATGCAGAAGACACCCATCGCGCTCAGGTAAAACGCTCAACACACCAGGAAAGCTGGACTTTAGCGACTGCCAGTGAATCGTATAAGGTTGAAGAAAGCGCCAAGATGCTCAACTCAACCCAGTGGACTTTAGGTCTCGACGCTGTTGAAGAAAATCCTGTGCTTTCACAGAATCCATTTCATGTTCTTGGTTTGGAAAGCAATATTGATTTCCCTGAGTCTTACCCTGAAGAATGGAAAGAGATGCTTTCATTTCAGCCGAACCTTACAGCGACCTCCAGCGTGGGCCGCCCCACGAGACCACCAGCTTCAGTCGGCCCCAAGAAGCATTGTCCAATCCTGCTGAAACACAGTCTGAAAGACCCCAAACCTCTGAACAAGTTAAAGCGACGCCACTCCTTTTCCAGTTTTACTCAACCTGCCTTATTGTGCCCTGAACCGAAAAGTGATTTTGATTGTAACCTTCCTGATCCTGCACTTCCTTCTCCTCCTCCTCATGCACCATTACCCAACAGCAGGAAGAGGAAGTCTAAGGACGTCTCGTCTGATGTCCCAGCTCCTCCACTGCCTGTTCCTCAGCCCAGTTGTCATAAACGTTCACGCTCTTTGTACCTCGTTTCACCTAGTCAGGTGGCGCTTGCATCCTTCAGCACTTATCTAGGCAACCCATTTTTACAAAAGGTACACAGCATACCACTTTTTTCTATATGTGATACTTTTTTGAAGAAATAATCAATATTTTGCATTTCATTATGCAGGAGTCCATTAGGAAATCAACAGGAGAGGAACCAAGCTCTGGTTGCAGGTTAGAAAATGGAGTGAAAGCAACATTTTTGAGATGTTATGGTTATTTCACCCAACTTTAAAAAGCTGTATTAAGTTATTAGAGATCCATGTTCTGAAAAGGATAGTCAAACTAAAAATGAAAATTTTCATCATCATTTACCGTCACCTCACCGTCATGAACATTTCTTCTGTCAAACACATACGGAATAGCAAGTTAAACAGTAGTCCTCTGCTCACAGCTGACATATGACATCTTTTCACCAATTAATTTCATTCCTTTCTTGCCAGTCATGATTACTGAGAAAGGATTTTTTAAAAATTATTTTATCTAAATAAAAAATGTATGATTTCAATGATTACCCCTATTAGAGTACAAATGTCTCCAAATTAACCACCAATGAACAGATCAATATTATGATGCATAATCTATATCTGAATAGTGCAAATTTGGAAAATGATACATTATTATATACACTACTGTTCAAAAGGTTGGGGTCAGTAAGGTTTGTAAAATGTTTTTGAAAAATCTCGTATGCTAATTCTGCATTTATTTGATCAAAATGCTTTAAAAACAGTAATATTGCAAATATTCTTTGATTTGCTGTTCAAGAAACATTTCTGATTATTATCAGATTATTATATATGAAAACTGTGTTTACACTTTACAGTCACTTGATAAATTTAATGCAGCCATGCTGAATAGAAGTATTAATAAAAATAAAAACAAAAAAACATTCACACTAATTATATAGTGCTTCTTTGTCGGTTTTGGAGCTCAACAGCTGCTAGTCTCTCTATATGCGTTCATAGTATGGAAAAAAGCAGCATGAACATTTCTTTGTGTTTTGTGAAAGTCATTTTCGGGGAACTATTCTGTTAAATAGCTGCTGACACAGCATTTTTTCATCATTTTCTAGCAGACCGAACACAAAGATTTATAATCTGAATCAGAAGGTCTACGATAAAATCACTTAAGTTTTACTCTGGTTTGTTTCCTGCAGAACATATAAAAGAACTTCATCTGTACGCAGAGCTCGATCGCAGCCCTCTTGTTCTCAAGAAGCTCTTTCCTCTGTTGGAACAAAGGAGAAACATAATTCACAGCCGTCTCCCTCAACGCTGGTGCTGACATTAATTCAAGTATTATTGTGAACTTAAAACATGAAAATCAGCACAATATTTGCATTAACTATATCTAATTTATTTTTCTCTCACAGGATGAAGGACAGAGGGGCAATTCAGGAAAAAAGCAAAAGTCCAAAGGGACAATCCTATCCCCACTGATCATGCCTGTGTCTGTCCCAGTCTCTGTCACAGACGTTTTAGACCCCCAAGCTTCCACACATCAAGTAATGTTGTAGTTGATAACATAATAACAATTAACAGTGAATATCATAAGTTGGCTTTTTTTATCATCGCTCAGGGATAGTTTAAAAGGCGATCATGCACTAACCACTAAATATCTTCCATAGGCTGAGAGATCACAAACTCGTAAAGGTGCATCTAAGAGGTCTCGTTGTCCTGACCCTTTAAAGCACCTGATCATCCCCAGTCCACCTCTGCCTCGCTCTTCTTCACCACAGTGGGCCCAGGATCAGGAAACCCAGGGTTTGCAGAGATGCCTTGGTTACCCCAGCCAGCTGCGCTCGCCAACCTATCTGTCAGACCACCTGCTAAGCCCTCGGTTTCATCCCTACACCCCTCAGCCCATGCTGAGCCCTCTTCGTCCTGGGACAGGCCTCTACTCTAAAAGCCTGCCGCAGTATCATCCACCTAACACCCTCGGTGAGCCCTAAACCCGTGATTTCAGCTTTAGTTCGATTTATTAGATCCTTTTTTTTGTTCCAACTTCCTGCCAAATAATTGTAACTTTGAAACCCTACAGATGGCGCCCCCTTCCCAATTGACAACACAGTCGTCAACATAAGGCCGTGAGTCACTCTACATTTGTATTAAAGAAGACCTATTATGCTTTTTTTTTACATTTTCAACTGTCTTAATGTTGCTGTTTGAGCATGAAAACTGTCTGCAAAGTTACAAAGCACAAAGTCTCTCCAAAGAGAGTTATTCTCTATATCAGTGCGCACTGTTTCTGAACTCCCTGAAACGCCTCGAGTGTAGTCTTGAGTTTTCTTCAGGGAACGTATGTTACAGTATTCCTCATTTAAATAATTCCCATTCAAGGCATATGCAATATAAAGGGGGAGAGGTCTGGTTGAAATGCGTTAGTAGCGTGTTGTTGCACACTACTAACCAAGAGACGCTGTTTTTTCCACCCCGGATCTAACATGGGGCGTGGCATTTCCGAAACATGTTTAAAGTGGTTGACCAATCACAACACACTGATCCAGCCGACCAATCAGTGCTCATTGCACTTTTTGGAAGGAGGGGCTTCATAGAGATAGGAACTGAACAGGGGTGCATTTCCCAAAAGCATTGTTAGACAAATATTGTCGCAAGTTCCGTTGAATTGTGTTGGTAAAGGCGGAACTTGCGTCCATAGTTTGGGAAACGCAGCCCAGGGGTCTCATTTATAAAACTGTGCGTAGGATCCTTACTAAAAGTGTACGTGCGTCCGAAAGCCAAAAATGGCGTACGCAAACAAATATTCTGACTTATACAACCGTGCGTACGCCAGAACCTGCGCAGAATTCACTTTATAAATCCAAGTCAGCGGAAGATTGTGCGCACACACGTCTCCTCCCCGAAACAACCAGATATGGAGATTATAACGCCTAGTTTTACTATGCATATCCTCATCTGCATATCATTTGCATATGATTATTCATCCACGTGATAACATATTTAACGGTACAAGACATTTGGAAAATATGAAATACGGATGTGCCGTCACATTAGTTAGGCTACATTAATAAAAAATAATTTAGTAGTCTATATCCTTGCCTTGTTTTTGAATAAATAAATCAAATAGTGTAAAATACATTTCAGAGAAAGTTTTTCTCAATCTTTTCCACTGGCCAAAAAGTATTTTTAATTGATTTATATTTTTAATGGAAACAGATAGACCTTGTAGTGCATTATTTGCACGAAACTTTTCTCAGACAATCTGCTATCATGATAAACAATTATCTCTGTAGTTAAAACATTAAAACACAGCATGCCAGAGAAAAAGTGTTTGAAAGCATTGCATCCACAACAAATATTTCCATTTATTGAATATAAAAAAATGTTGTAACTTCTCAGTAATGATTTCATGTAGGCCTACTTTGAGTGTCTAACTCCATTAATCAGAATTGGCGTATTTAATCTAAATGTTTATATCAGAAGTAAAACATACTTACAGTTATTTACATACTTACACTTAATTATTTAAACTGTTATTGTGAACATATTTCACAGAACACTGTATTTATGATTATAATGAAGATTTACGGTTTTAGATAGGCTGCGTCAGTTTCACTAAAGAACAAAGGGATGGACATTTAAATAGGGATGGATGTTTGCTTCATGTGATAGGCTTGGTGAGTGAAATTATATTTGTATTATCTTTCTGTATACTGTATGTATAATTTTCTTTAGATTTTCGGTCTAAAAGTGACCAAAAAGACAGCTCCAGCTCACCATTGGTGTCGCCAAACTGCTCCGTCTCCAAAACGTGCGTACGCACGGCTCAAAGTTTGCTTAAAGGTGCGCACATTCTCCCGTCAAGTTTGTTTTTTATAGATCACAACCTTTGCGTGGAAACTGGCGTACATACGTTTCCAGCCCCGTTTTGGGCGTACGCACGCTTTATAAATGAGACCCCAGAGCATTACTGACAGACTGCGAAGAAAGGTGCTGCAACAATGTCAAATATGTCAAATATATACATATACATATTTTTTTTTAAATTCAAGAATGAAAACCTATTTTAGTAGACCGCAAAAACAAAATAAAGACTTTGTAAAGGGGTATAATAGGTCCTCTATAAAATCATTCATATTCAATTATTCAAGTTTTTAGTTTATGATCTTTTTATTAATTAATTATTAATTATATTATCTCAGGTCCCTAGAAACGTTTTTTTGTGGCAACAAAAGCTTTGATTTATTATTGCAAAATACTACTTTTTATAAATACCAGCCAAAAGTTTGGGTACACTTTACTGAATGATCTTAAGAGTTTGTCCTGTGTCCTTTAGGAGGATTAACGTGGGTTCGCGGTTTCAAGCAGAGATCCCCCCAGTGCGTGACACGCTCTACACACTTTATGAAGAACACCCTGCTCAGCTCGTCTGGACTCCTTGGAAAGATCTCTCTACCAACACAGAGACACAGCAAAGGGGTAAACACACCTTTATTTGGGTCTGTCCAAAGCAAGAACTGAAATAATCCAAAACAAGTTCAAACCTCCTCAACAACTGTCTTAAAAAGCCAAATGAGAAAGCCTAATGTTAAATGTGATTTCTAGTCCTGAAAAAAACCCTGTAAATTATAGTCTCCATAGGCATTTTTAATGAATATATATATTTTTTAGTTGTCATGGGGTTAGGGGTGGGCGATATGAGCAAAAATTCATATCACGATATTTTTCACTGTCCGGACGATATCGATATTATATCGCGATATGAGAAAAAAAATTGGAATCACATTTTAGTACACCTTAGTTAAATTACAGGCAAAATATGTATTTTAACAGTAGATAACTAGAAACAGGTGAGGCATTTCATTGGACATAGACCTGAAATGTTTTTTTTTTTTTTTTTGCTTTTTTTTTTCTCAAAAAATGCAAACATGCAACATGAGGTAGGCCTGAATGCACTTGTTATGTCTTTCCACTTTTTGCTCGTCTTGTCATAATGAGAACCGGCAGCGAATGAAGACTTTATTGATTTCTGAGTGAGAGCCGTCTTCGGGTGTGCTCTGTCTCCGGGAATATCTGTTGTTATAGTTTTGCTTTTTTAAATTAGTTTTTATTTTAATATCGTTTTCAATTTTGCTTTAAATTTCAGTTTAGTTTTAGCTAGTTTCATTAATGGTTTTGTTAGTTTTTATTTAGTTTTATTTTGCAAACACATTTCTATATAGTTTTTATTTTATTTAGTTTCAGCTTTAGTAATTATAGTTTAGCTTTAGCAGAGCGAGCAGAACACTTCCAGTGTAGACCAAAGCGAGACGTTTAATTTAAGTTTAATGTTTGCACAGATTACAGTTAACTCTTATGCAGACATCTTAATAATAAAAATAAAATAATGGTTTGAGATTGAACAAAGCACCAAATAAATAGAACTTAAAAGTATACAAGAAAAAAACAATGAAAATTTTCATACAAACTAATTCATTAGTGTAAGGAGACAGAATAAAGGCCTACAGTTTGTACAGTATAAACCCCATTACGTCTATGGAGAGTCCCCACAAAGATAGTGGACCAGTGTGTGTCGTGTGTATGCGCGCGCTTATGTGTGTGTCGTGTCCTGTTATTCATAGCCTAACGTTACATTGCGGGGAAATGTCTCCACGTGGATAATATTATTAGCAGTAAATGTTTTGTAAAAACAAAGATAATAACAGCAGCTTTCAACCTTCATGAAAACATGACATCTCAAACACACAGTAGCCTAGAACTTTAACGTTTTTTTGTGCTTGACGAACTTGTTTTGGTGTTGCACCCGCGTCTCGCAAATGAAACGCCATTCTAAAAATGCTGCGCTCCAGTTAAAAGTCAAACTTGCGTCTCATTACCTTGTTATTTCCCATTCCACCGCAAAAGATGCATCCTTTATGAACAGCCGCTTAGCACTAGCGATGTGTTCTACGTTACGGTCCTTCATTGAACGCGTCACAGGACAGCGGTTAATCGCCTCAGCAACTTCACGCATGAAGCGCCAAATCAGCCATTTCCTTAAACAGCGTATTCGATTCTGTATCGTCATTAGTGTTAACAGTTGTAAAGAGTTGGCTACCAAATTGAACAAAACAATATAACTGCAAAATTTTTATTTATGAATACGGTATCCTCGGTATCGCAAAATCCATATCATGGCACAACATAATACCGGTATTCACGTTCATACCGGTATAGCGCCCACCCCTACATGGGGTACACATTTTGAGTACAAAATATTTGTTTTAATCCTTCTCCATTAAATCTTGAACAATTGAAAAAAGTCTCAAGGCCTTTCAATATTGTTGTGGATAATGGGGCCCAAAAGGTTGACTTGAGAACCACAGGTTTAGACACTGGGGGCCTCATTTATAAAACGTGAGTACGCACAGATTTAATCTTAAAGTGTGCATACGTTAAAATCCGTGTTAATGCTCATATTTATAAAAATTTATGCAATTCTGGTTGCTTGCAATTCTCAAGTAAATGATTTGGATGCTGACTGGTGCTCTTTTATATGTTAATGACATTAGGTGTTTACAAAGCGGAGATCTGAAACCATTCAGCTTGCGCACAATTTCAAGATCGTTTGCAATTTATAAATATCACTTCTGGAAGAGAGGCGTACTCACATTTTTTTGTGCATACGTTCGTTCTCAGAATCACATGTACGCACATTTGAGAAATTATTGTAAGATCAGATGTAGGACCATCTATCCATCTTCTTCCGCTTATCCGGGGCCGGGTTGCGGGGGCAGCAGTCTAAGCAGAGATGCCCAGACTTCCCTCTCCCTGGACACTTCCTCCAGCTCTTCCGGGGGGACACCGAGGCGTTCCCAGGCCAGCCGGGAGACATAGTCTCTCCAGCGTGTCCTAGGTCTTCCCCGGGGTCTCCTCCCAGTGGGACGTGCCCGGAACACCTCACCGGGAAGGCGTCCAGGAGGCATCCGAAACAGATGCCCGAGCCACCTCAGCTGACCCCTCTCGATGTGGAGGAGCAGCGGCTCTACTCTGAGCTCCTCTCGAGTGACCGAGCTTCTCACCCTATCTCTAAGGGATCGCCCAGCCACCCTGCGGAGAAAGCTCATTTCGGCCGCCTGTATCCGGGATCTTGTCCTTTCGGTCATGACCCAAAGCTCATGACCATAGGTGAGAGTAGGAACGTAGATTGACCGGTAAATCGAGAGCTTTGCCTTACGGCTCAGCTCTTTCTTCACCACAACAGACCGGTACATCGACCGCATTACTGCAGAAGCTGCACCGATCCGTCTGTCAATCTCCCGTTCCATCCTTCCCTCACTCGTGAACAAAACCCCAAGATACTTAAACTCCTCCACTTGAGGAAGGATCTCTCCACCAACCTGAAGTGAGCAAGCCGCCCTTTTCCGACTGAGGACCATGGCCTCGGATTTGGAGGCGCTGATTCTCATCCCAGCCGCTTCACACTCGGCTGCAAACCGTCCCACTGCATGCTGAAGGTCCTGGTGTGAGGGGGCCAACACGACAACATCATCCGCAAAGAGCAGAGACGAAATCGCGTGGTCCCCAAACCTGACACCCTCCGGCCCCTGGCTGCGCCTAGAAATTCTGTCCATAAAAATTATGAACAGAACCGGCGACAAAGGGCAGCCCTGCCGGAGTCCAACATGCCGTGTCAGGAAGAAGTCTGACTTACTACCGGCAATGCGAACCAAGCTCCTGCTTCGGTCATACAGGGACCGGACAGCCCTTAGCAAAGGACCCGGGACCCCATACTCCCGGAGCACCCTCCACAGGCCGCCTCGGGGGACACAGTCGAATGCCTTCTCCAAATCCACAAAACACATGTGGACTGGTTGGGCAAACTCCCATGAACCCTCCAGCACCCTGTAGAGCATAGGTTCTCAAAGTGCGGCCCGCGGGCCAATGGCGGCCCGCCGAAACATTTCTGGCGGCCCGCGATAACATCTGTAAAACTGTTAAAACTATTGCTTTGAAAAAATGAATATCTCCGTTTAGTGGTGTTTAGCGGCATCCATAGGCATAAGCGGTAATTACATGGTCCGACCGATCGATCGCACTTGACCTCACTCCCAAGGCCACCAGGAACAGTGGTTGTCTACACAGGAATAGGAATCGTGGCCAACCGAAACCAGCACCACAAATCCCATTGCAATTTAAAAGGGTATGTTGACCAAGTAGGGCCTAATCAATATTCAATGTGACTTAATAATAATCTTAACAATGTCAAGCTTATTAATAGCCGCGTTTCCATTACCTTTCAAAATGTTCGCGGGCGCGAACACTTGCATTTTCCTATCAACAGTGGAAACAACTTAAACTAGTCTATCATTTCTGGTCATACAGAAAATAATAATGCATTATTCGCAACTACTTTTATTTGTGTAAACTCATAACAAGAAAACGTGCTTTTGTAAAATAAAATAAAACAATCAGTAGCCTAGGCTACTACGCGCTTTCATGATCTCCGTGAACTGGAGCGCGAGAACTGAAACAAAATATAGCCTATGTAGGCTAAAGCTTAAAATGTGCACTTTTAAACAAACAAACTCGAATCGAAAGCAAATACCTGATTATGTAATCCGTATGAAAGGTGGATTTCTCTCTAAAAGCGCATCTGCTTAACAGCGGAGATGGAGATATGTTTTTAGCCGACACTTAGAAAACAATAGTTTATTAATAAACAATTAAAATGCCTCGCTGTTTTTTCAGACGCATTTATTATCATTAGCCTATAACTCACCTATAAATCAGGCTAGATCAGACACGTACAGGCTATATGACTCTTCTCATTCATCACTGCGGGAAAAATATAAATTCCAGGTTCTAATTTGGCCTTAGAAAACCAGTAAAATCGACATGTTTTCCATATTAATTTGTGAATATTTAAAGGGGCAAAAAGTCATTTAAACAAAAATCTGAAAAAGTCTGTCGATATTTACTTTTTTGCGCAGCAGTTGGTGAAGCCAGTTCAAATTAAAATTTTGTTCAACTTTGCGTTTTAAAAAGACAACAACCGTTCATTTTTCGTTTTTCAGTTACGGGTTAAAAAAGATAGATAAAAATATGCAAATCTGCAATAATGGAAACGCGACTGACAAGCAATGATAGAAATGCATGATGATGATGACTTGTTTGGTAAGCTTCTATTTTAAAAGTTTCTTTCTCTCCCCCCCAAAATTTTCACAAGTTTTGCCAGGTTTAGCCTCAGTTATGAATTAAAATGTGTTAATTGCAACTAATGTAAACTGTAGAGATGCAACCTGGTCATTAAAATAATTTCAAATGGGGTTTTCTTTTCAGTTTTTTTTTCTTCGTTTTCTCCCCCGCCACTTTGGCGGCCCTCAGTTCAATGTTGGGTTCCTAAATTGGCCCTCACCTATCAAAACTTTGAGAACCCCTGCTGTAGAGGGTATAGAGCTGGTCCAGTGTTCCACGGCCTGGACGAAAACCGCACTGTTCCTCCTGAATCCGAGGTTCCACTATCGGCCGTATTCTCCTCTCCAGTACCCTGGCATAGACTTTCCCAGGGAGGCTGAGAAGTGTGATCCCCCTGTAGTTGGAACACACCCTCCGGTCCCCCTTCTTAAAAAGAGGGACCACCACCCCGGTCTGCCATCCCAGAGGCACTGTCCCCGACCGCCACGCGATGCTGCAGAGGCGTGTCAGCCAAGACAGCCCCACAACATCCAGAGACTTGAGGTACTCAGGGCGGATCTCATCCACCCCCGGTGCCTTGCCACCGAGGAGTTTCAGATGTAGGACGGTTTCTGCGCAAAAGTTTGTAAATGAGGCCCAACATGTAACCATGTTTTTCCAAAATGACATTTGAACCTTGTTAAAGGAGCTGTATGTAAGAAATGTATTTCAACTAATCATAAAATGGCCCTGATATGTCACTAGACATTAAGAAATCATGTACATTTCAAATACTTATATCACTGACAACAGTAGTCCAGCCAGGATATTGTCATTTAAAAAGTGAAGTTGCAGCCCTCAACTGATGTTGATGTTGTCATGTTGTGTTTGGGTCTGATGCTCCACCCTCCACCTATCTACCAATCATGAAGTCAGTAGTGTTGCGGCATCCGGGTTGCCAGCTCTTCTCTAGTTACCACAGCTGCAGCTCGTCACGTTCCTGCTGGATCCTGCAGCCCATCTGGCAACCTCGAGTCAGGGAGGAGGGGGAGGGGATACACCACTCTATAGTAATTTGAAAGTGATTGCAGTACCAGTTTTGGCCACAATCTTACATAAAGGTTAAACCCAGCTCACTGCTTTTTTTTCTTTTAGCATGTGCAAAAGGTTAAAACTGATCACGCATCATTTTTGTGCTTCAGTCACAGAGCTTATAGACATGTGTTGTTCCAGTGTGCTACCCGGAGGAGGCACCAACATCGAACTCGCTCTCCACTGCCTTCATGATGTCCAAGGAAACGTAATGGTGAGCTTATTCATCACACTGAGAGTTTTATTTATAGATGTTTAATACGTTATTCAACTTTCAGGCAGCACTGGATTTACTGCTAATGAGAGGAGATTATCGGACCTCCTGGCATCCGCTGAATGATTACCACTACACAGGTACAAGCTCTTAATACACAAATACATCACGGGTGTCCAGTCCAGTTCCTGCAGGGCCACCTTCTAGCAGAGTTTCACTCCAACCCTACTTAAACACACCTGAAACAACTAATCAAGGTCATCAGGATTGCTAGAAACTTCCAGACAGGCGTGTTTTAGTTAAACTCTGTAGGGAAATGGTTCTCCAGGAGCAGAACTGGACTCCCATGAAATAAATAAAACTCATAAGTCCTTCATAAACTTGATGTTGCTCATTTTAATTGGCAGGGTCAGACCAGTGGACTGCTCAAGAGATGAAAGTGTTCAAGAAAGCTCTGGTTGACCATGACAAGGACTTTCAACAGATTCATAATGTGGTATGAACATTGAGTTCAGAAAATAAGTCATTCCTAAATTAGTGCAAGACCCCACCCCATATCTCTGTGATATTCTGGTCTCTAGATATAGCCGAAGTCCCTTGCTCAATGTCAATCTATGGAACTTTCCTGTTTTACTGGATACTGTCAGGAAATCACAAGTTTAATAGGTTATAAAAGTAATAGCACACCTTTCCTCAAATTTGATGTATCATTCATATCCGTAATACAAATGAAGATGGACGAGTAGCATAATGATTAGTGGTGTCACGATTCTCCAAATCTTCGATTCGATTTCATTTTCGATTCTAAGGTCACGGTTCGATTCGATTCTCGATTTTTACATTTTTTTTTTTTAAAGCACAGGTTGGTATGCCATTTCTAGACTAGACTTTTATGCATTATAATAAAATGTTTGTGATTTTAATATAAGTAGGCTACATGGTTAAATGTTACCACTTGCTTGAGCAAAATATATATTTTATATAGAAGTAATGCATTGAATTTAAACGTCAATTAAAGAGTGTAAATGTGTACAAAGAGAATCGCACTGGTGACAAAACCTTTTTTAAAATAAAAGTAGCTGGTAACTTCTGGATTTGAAATTCAAATGTGTTTGTGGTACAGCGGCGGATCAGTTGCGCACTGCAAACGCAGCATGTGAAAGCACTATAGCACTATGATTGGTCAGATGGCATTGGCCCAGTCTGTTGTGATTGGTCTACCGCTTACAGCACGTGTTGGAAACTAAACAACCATTACCATATCTGAATTTCAGCTCCAGAGGCTTCCTCAGCGCTTGATACACAGTAATACGAACAGTAACGAGGTTGTTGTTTTTTTACGTATCAATTCCAGCACAAGTCAGCTACAACTTGTGTTTGAGGGTCAAAGGAGACTTTGTTTGCAGGCAGCCAATGAAGACCATAGGCTGGCATTGTGCAAATTTGTTAGTTACCGTAATTCCTCAAATAAAGACCGGTATTCAAATAAACGCCGGGCCTCTGATAGTGGCCGGGGGCGTGGTCAACGCGGACAAATAAAGGCCGGTCTCAAATTAAGGCCGGGGAAAAAATAGTGTACACTCAAAGACGGACTCGCTCAGCGGTTGTCATATCACAACTATTCAGTGTTTTTAACCACATGTTTATTTTAGGTTTCAGACATTTAAATAGATATGATTTATAGCAAAACAATACATTTATAGTTTGTAAAATACACAATGGTGTCTATGGAAGCAGCAATAACAATCCATTCAAATATATTTGGCGACGTGTTTTATTCATATCAGATACACAGTGTAAGTAACTATAAAGTTTACTCTATTCTTCTCCCAGTTCACCGGCCACTTACTTTCATGTATTTCGGGAGAAACTGAAGAATTCACGCGCTGTAACGTAACAAATCCAACAGACAGGAATCTCTGAACTGCGGTGCCCATCTCACGTTACATATCAAGATAATTTATAAAGGGTTTTAAACGACAAAACAAACTCACTTACACGGATTTGAGAGTCAGAATAGAAGATAGTTGATGACATGGTAAGCAAGTTTGTTAATATTTAGAAATAAAAGCGCTACATCTGTCATACAGCGCTATTTTGGCTGTGGTGAACACGCGCCAAGCATGACGCGTCACCATGGAAACTTGGCTGGCGGGCGGGCGGGGATCGCGAATTAGAAATAAAGGCCTGCCTCTAATAAAAGCCTGCTTCAAATAAAAGCCGGCTACCATCTGCAGTTCAGGTAAATAAAGGCCCCGGTCTTTATTTGAGGAATTACGGTACGTAGGTATGTAACAGGAAGTTAGACTGGAACTTGATTTGTCATGCACTTTGATCTTTTACATTCACAAACAGTTACTGTATATTACACACTACATGAAAGCATAATAGGGGCACTTTAAATGGCTATGGTTAACACAAGCAAGACATTTTCACATTTTATTATTCGACATAAAATACATTAGTCACCCCACTTGTGATTTTTTTTTACCTGTCTTAAAAGACTGTTGCTAACGAGTGTCTAAATGGGATTATAAAGGTTGTCGGGGGGATTTAACATCATGCCGAACAGGAAAAGTCATCTACTACTCAACTGCTTTTGCTACCCTGTGTTTATATTCACTCTCTTGTATTTAGGCTTCAAAATTCATAAAAGTTATGCTCATTTTTGAAGATTATCTTGATGAACAAAACGTGCAAGAATCAAACTTTTGTTGGTCACAGGGCTTATTTTCTGCAGTAATCCAAAAGCTAATGGAAAAATCCTATTTTTGTCGAGGGAACCAAGGTGATGCTAACTTCCGGGTTGGCCTAGAAAAATACATCATCCCCGCAGCACTCTATTGCCTTAAATGGATAGTTCACCCCAAAATGAAAATTCTGTCATCATTTATTTGCCCTCAGGTTGTTCCAAACCTGAATTAATTTCTTTCTTCTGTTGAACAAAAAAGAAGATATTTTAAAGAATGTCGGTAATTAAACAGTTAATGGGCCTCATTGACTTCCATGGTATATTCCATCATTGGCGTCCGTAAACTGTTTGGTTACCAACTTTCTTAAAAATATCTTTTGTGTTCAGCAGAAGAAAGAAATTCATACAGGTTTGGAAAACTTGAGGGTGAGGGTGATTTTTAGGTGAACTAACCCTATAATAAATGTCTCTAAATACTAAATTGATGTTTGTTTTTAAGTTGCAGACAAAATCAATAGCTCAGTGTGTGGAGTATTACTATAACATGAAGAAGCTGAAAAAGTTAAAGCAACGTGGTCGAGCCGTCAATAAAAAGGATGGATGTGGAGAGAATGCTGTATGTTTCATTTCAGTACATGAACACATTATTAGCTATTACATTTGCATATACATCATCTAAATAGATGATAGTGGAATTTGTCTTCATTTACTATTGCCCTCGTTACTACTATTTTCTAGAAGGTGTTCAATTGCTTCCAAGTGCACCAACATGAGCAGACAGACGGAAACGCGTGACAGAAGACAACAGCTGCTGAGGGCAAGTCGTGTGCCAGGTTAGAGACACTACATCCTACAGCACACTCATGAGTTACATGCCTTCAAATACATGAAATAACACAATAACAAACTGTAGCGGTTCGGTTGAGGGGAGAAAACAATCCGACCCAATAAACCAAGCGGTATCATAACTCATAACTAGAAATGTGTTATGCAAGGAATAATTGATGACGGACCGTTGAATTATAAGGAATAATGCACACTCGAGTTGGTAATGCACCGTTACACCTCGGGTGCACAGTAGTTTTCAATAATTCATCGGCCCGGAGTCAATTATTCTGCTTATACTACGGTAACCACAACTTAAAACATTGTTTAGATGATGTATTTCAAGACATTTGGCAGGTTTTGTCCTTAAAACACTCGTGTGTAGGACTAATTTCTTACGCATCTAATCCCAAAACGTCATTTTAGAGCTAGTTACAGAGGCTTGAGCCATTGATAGCAGACTTATGCAGTTATTAGAGGGAGAGAGATCAAGCGTGTATGAATTACCCAAGTCTGTGTGCGTCTCTCAACAGTGTTCGGCAACAGCAACACTGTAGCACCAGTAGCGAAACTGTACGTTTATCTGCTCCAAGAACAGAGCTGTTATTACATCGCTAGTGAGAAATGTCATGTAGCTTTTAAGTTGCTATTTATACTGTTAAAATCATCAGAGCAGCACTGACGACATGTTTCTGTGCGAGTGTGTGTCCGTACTGTATGTGTGCGCGTTTGAGTGCGGGAGAAAGAGAGTATGTGCTTTCCGTACATAAAATGTAATTTTGTGGCAAAAAACATGGAAACAATTTGTTGTTTTTATCCTATTGTTTACTATATTTATTTGCTCGGTCAGTGTCGTTGTGGGTTTTGGTAATAACTTTTGAAATAACTGAAATCTCTTAGCGAAGTGATATGGAACTGTAATGCAGTCAAGACCAGCCTGTAACTACTTCAGCCGTGCGTTTTCCTGAAAATACAGGCCCTTCTCAAAAAATTAGCATATTGTGATAAAGTTCATTATTTTCCATAATGTAATGATAAAAATGAAACTTTCATATATTTTAGATTCATTGCACACCAACTGAAATATTTCAGGTCTTTTATTGTTTTAATACTGATGATTTTGGCATACAGCTCATGAAAACCCCAAATTCCTATCTCAAAAAATTAGCATATCATGAAAAGGGTCTCTAAACGAGCTATTAACCTAATCATCTGAATCAACTAATTAACTCTAAACACCTGCAAAAGATTCCTGAGGCTTTTAAAAACTTCCAGCCTGTTTCATTACTCAAAACCGCAATCATGGGTAAGACTGCCGACCTGACTGCTGTCCAGAAGGCCATCATTGACACCCTCAAGCAAGAGGGTAAGACACAGAAAGAAATTTCTGAACAAATAGGCTGTTCCCAGAGTGCTGTATCAAGGCACCTCAGTGGGAAGTCTGTGGGAAGGAAAAAGTGTGGCAAAAAAACGCTGCACAACGAGAAGAGGTGACCGGACCCTGAGGAAGATTGTGGAGAAGGACCAATTCCAGACCTTGGGGGACCTGCGGAAGCAGTGGACTGAGTCTGGAGTAGAAACATCCAGAGCCACCGTGCACAGGCGTGTGAAGGAAATGGGCTACAGGTGCCGCATTCCCCAGGTCAAGCCACTTTTGAACCAGAAACAGCGGCAGAAGCGCCTGACCTGGGCTCGGCGCTACCCGGAATCTGGAGCAAGACCGCGCACTAGAGTAGAGAGTGACTTTGCGCGCGCGCGCGCGTGCGTGTGTGTGTGTGACTATTAATGCAGTGTGTGTAAGAGGAAACCGTCCTTATAGCTGTGTGTTGCCGCTTATTAGACCGATCACCCCCGGGGGCGACAACAAGTAACAGGAATTCCCCACCCCCAAAATAATGATTGACGTGACGTCGGCATATTAATTGTACCAGAACAAACTTTTGCGCCCATAAATATGTAGCCTATGTTTCGCGCCTATGGGTAGCCAGGCGCGCTGGAAGCTGTTTCATGCGTAAGTGGGGGCTGAGGGCTGGGTTGGAAAATATGTGACGTCATTATGTTGTGGCTTACGACAAGATATGAAATTTCTCTGAACATTGAACATGATTTGAGAGTGGCAGTATCAAGCCTGCAACCCTGCTTTGAGAAATTGTGCAATGCAAAACAGCCTCATTGCAGTCAATAATGCAGGGATAAATAGACCTGTCTTGCCAAATGGATTTCTCTTCTTTTCTTTTTTAAACGGATTGCAAAGTGGCACTTTTATTTCGTTTCTATTTTTGAGGCACTTTTATTTTCTCTATTTTTGAATTTCATGCAAGTTATGACACAGATGCACTTTATTTTCTTTTTTTTTTAACTTGCTGTTATTTGATGTAGATAGTTAGTTTGTATTTAGATACAACTTGTTACTATACTGATACTACTTGTTACTTCAATAAATTGGAACATGTTAAGCTTGTTACGTATTTCATTAGCATTGTGTCGGGGCGATGGGGGCAGGTGGGGCTTGAAAATTCCCCCTTGTCCAAAGTGGGGAATGACCGAAAAAGTTTGAGAACCACTGGGTTAATAGCTCGTCTAGAGACCCTTTTCATGATATGCTAATTTTTTGAGATAGGAATTTTGGGTTTTCATGAGCTGTATGCCAAAATCATCAGTATTAAAACAATAAAAGACCTGAAATATTTCAGTTGGTGTGAAATGAATCTAAAATATATGAAAGTTTAATTTTTATCATTACATTATGGAAAATAATGAACTTTATCACAATATGCTATTTTTTTTTAAAAGGACCTGTAATTGTAGTTACTTTAGAACATTCATCAACCAATCAGATTCAAGCATTCAACACCCCGTAGTATAAAAAAGAAATATTCGTCTTAAAATGTATAATTGCTCCTCTGTGCATTGCTAAAACAGTCCCGATGAAGCCTTGATTCCAGCTCTAACTTCATTATAAACAAATAATATAAAAATAAAATACATTTTATCTATCAGTTAATAGTAATAATGTTAAGAGTAGTAATAATAAAGAGTGTTTCATGACAGCTACAGATAAAGCCAAAATAAGCTCGCAGAGCTTGTCAATCCATATATGGATAACGCAGAAGAATCTCTGACCAATAAGAGGACAGTTTTACCCACATTTGCATTCAATGAATAAATATTAGGAAGAACTTCAAAATGGCACATTAATATTCACTTTACCTTTTAAATCCAACAGAGATGTGTAGAGCCATAGATCCCCCTCAATCAGGATAGATACAAACTCCAGATGACAATAGGAACACAGGTCAGAGCTGAAGCCCGAAGTTAACTGAAGCCCAGTGTTTCAGAAGAATCCTGTGTGAAGTGCTGAATTGTGTTTTAGACTACAGTAAATATACAACTCACTGTCCAGGAATTAACATGGACCCTGAAATTAGGCATAATTGTAATTGTTCTCATCAAAAGAGTAGCCAACTTGAAGTGAATTTACAACAGTTTATTTGTTCTGTTAAAATTTAGAGAAGTGCACAATGCACAAATGTTAACAATATGTGAAGTTCTTAAAATGTTCCAGACTAGTTGTTGTAGTATGACGGGGTTTCATACAAATTTTTTTTTTTTTTTTTTTTCATGTTTAACTGTTTGTGACGGTTTTACGTTTGGGATCAATATTCTTTTCTTAGTTCAGATTTATGTATCAATTCATATTCCTATCACTTTTTTGCAGTAAAATAGTGGTATATTTAAATGAAAGTAATGTGCAACAAAAATGTAAAATCCTACCAATTCATTAAAAATCTACATAGTTTTACAAGTCAACTGATTTTCCCCTTTCCCATTTGATGTCATTTTCAATCCATGTGACCTATAATAAAGTTATTAAATTGCATTTTTACTATCACATGTCATTAAAAACAGCTGATGATGTCAATGTATAACACGTTTACTGTTTATATTACTATAAGGTGTTTGGTTGTCCGAGTTCTCCTTTATGTGCTGTTCTAATTGAACAAATGTTTTACTATAGTAATGTTAAACTTGTTAAAATAAACAAGAAATGAAAACACAGCCTTTTCCATCTGCAATTCCAGACTACAGAATATTTCAAACAACACTTTAATCTGATCATGCTACCGATAGAATACACTGTAAATTCTAAAGTTGCAAGTATGAAAAAGATTAGTAATACCTCATATGCATGTACATATCCAATCCCCCATAATATAAAGGAGGAAGCGATCATGTTGAAATGCATGCATGATTTTGACAATGCATTTAAGTAATGCTTGCAACATTGTGTAAAGTGACAATAATATTGAAGTAACAGTATATGCAGAATTTGAAATAACAAATCACATTTAAACAAATACAACAGTTACTTCCTGGCCTGGAATTAACCTAATTTGATTTGCGGTGTTCCTAAACAAAGTATGTGAACGGTTCAGTAAAAAAGCCTGATATCTGCATGACTGTGATGACCTATGGCCAAAGCACAGCCCAGCTAATATTCAGAACAGCAGCTTGATTGCTCGTGCTCATATTGCGTAATTCATTAGAGACAAGTTAAGAATGTAGTAAAACAGATTTAGTAAAACAGTATCTATATTAGTCACAAGACATTAACTACACAAACCTTCAGACCTCTTAGAGACCAGACGATATTAAACGATAATGTCACAAATTCCTAGTACAAGGAATGTGTTATTTCTAAACTCATTTACATAGCAGTAATGAAAGTGATCAGATAACCATGTAATTAAAGGAGCTTATTGTGGGATGTGACAGAACTGTTCAAAAATGTAACCAAAAAATAAACAGTGATCATGACTCTTCCTCAGGCACACGAACCTTACTTTCATAAGACACTAGAGTCTGGTAAAGACTTTCTCTGCTTTGGTTTCCACTGACATTGTTCCACTGGTCAATTTCACGTACAGAGGGTCCACCTTTCAGCTGATCTACGTAATCAGTGTTCTGATGGAGAAACAAAATATGATCAAGGTGTTTAGATCCCAATGTGGCCCTTCTTTGGGTCACTGGAGACTCCCTAGGGGCAAAGGTCCGATCGGCGGAAACAGCAGTTGCTGGTATGGACAGGTATTTTCGTGCCAGTCTGGCCACCGCAGGAAAGCGATGCTCCTTGTTGCGCCACCATTGCAGAGGCGAGAGGCTGCGTCTGCAGAGCGGCTCTGCTATGTAATTCTCCAGCTGCTGGTGAATTTCGGGCATTCGCTCAGTAGGGTCCTCGCCCAGAAGAATATCGTACATGCTCTGTGGGAGAGGACTTATTCGTGTTCGAGGCGTGTGCTGTAAATCTCCCCTCAGCGGCGAGGTCAAACTGGTCCCACTAGAACGTCTTTTACGTTCATTGGCGTTCTTGAAAGGTGATTTAACAACCTCAAGTGCATTTTCATTGACCTGTTCTGGAGATGATATGGCAACGAAGGGCTCGCTTGGCTGCAGCTCAACGCTGTCACCTTCCTCCGCTGAGCCGCACGATTCAGGAGAATCCAAAGAAGCCATTACAGGCAGTGTCAAAGAATCATCCAATACAAAATCTACAGGTTCTTCCCGTTCATCCACAGTCTCTTCCATTTGCACGCTTTGTCTTCTCTCTCCATTCATTCCTTCGCTCCTTGTGAAAGCCTGAACAGATAGCAGCTCTTTCACCTTGTCATGAAGCTTGCTACGGGCATGTGGGCTGAGAAACCGCAACTCTTTAAAACGTGGGTCCAGAAATGAGGACAGTACGGCATGGCAGTCCAGAAGAGCATCTTCATCACTCAGACTCCAGCGTTTGTCCATACCAGCACGAATTCTCTCCATAACTCCCCTCACCACTGGACACGTACACTCCACAATTTTCTGTCCCAGGAGCCTAGACACTCCTTGGAGGCATGGCATCAGGGCTGAAATGGGTCCATTGATGTCCTCACTCAAAAACGATGCCGCAATGCGAACCGTTTTGAGCACAGGGACCAGTTCATGTATAAGGCGCCACTGGTGATCTGCCAGATTTGTTGCAACTTTTTGCTCCTCTAAGACGGAGCTTATTACCCACTTGAGCTCCAGAAGACTCTCACACATCTCAATGGCCGTGGTCCAGCGCCCTGGGTCGTTCAAGACCAGGGTTACAGACTCTTTATTAACAGCCTCAGCTTTCTGGCTCAGTGCTGTCGAAGCGCTCACATCATGCTGGAAGTGTAGGACGATGGTGCGAGCATCTGCCAGAGCTTGTCTCACAGTCTCCACGCAAAGTCCCTCCTGGACACATAGTTTCAGGGCCTGTCCTGCACAAAGCAGAGGTGACCATCCCTCCGGAAGATTACTGGGGGGAGGATGGCTGGGTCCAGCAAATTCTTGCTGATATTCCGGATCGATGGTCATATTCTCCTGCCCACCAGACTCGGATCCACTTGGGGTGTCATGCACAACACAGAAAACAAAGTCCTCTGGAAGCTGGAACTCGGTGAGGACTCCTTTCAGGGTGTCTGCAACGCTGACTTGCCCTCTCTCTGATGGGTTTCCTTTGAATTCTGCTATCGGTCGGGTCTCGAGCACACATCGTGCCAGGCGCCAGTGAGGGTCGACAAAATGCGCACTGACTGTAAGGTAGTACTGACCATCCCCTCCAACCCCACATCCATCTACGGATCGCCAGTATTCGGTGCAGAGGGTCAGACAGTGAGAAGCTAGACTTGCCTGAAGATGCTGCTGAAGGCATTGCTTGAGGATGTGGTAACGATGCCAAAGTAGACTGCCAAGCAGAGATGGAGACGGCACGGGGTAGTTAGGCTCTAGGCAACTCAGTAAGAGCTTGAACCCCCTCTCTTCCACCACAGACAATGGCTGAAGGTCTCTGAAGACCATCTCCAAGATAAGATCGGTCAAAACCTCAGCTCGCTTGTTGCTGCAGGCTTTTGTGCCGGTGCGGATGCTACTGCCTCCAGCAGTGCTGCTCATCTCCCCCGCAGGAAAATTATACATTAGGCAGCCCACATCTGTATCTTGGTGCACAATGGCATTTGAATTCGAAGTACCGCTTCCGGCCGCACAGTCAGGGGCGTATGTGGTCCGAGCAGGTTTGGTCTCTCCCATCTCAGCTGTCAGTACTTCTACCTGCTCCTCTTTAATAGCAACAGGTAGTGCCGGTTGAAACGCAGCATTGCCTGCGGTGTTGTATCTGTTAGCTTGTAAAGCGGTCTGAATGTGTGAATGTAATGCTGCAGGGGTGGGGATGCCTGCTGTGTTGTGAGGGGGTACCGCTCCTTCCCGAATGCTGTGTTTGCGTCCTAAGTGTTCTCTCATGGAAGTAGTGCTGTTGTGAAAGGAAAGCTGTCTCTTACAATGGTTGCACTCGACACGATGCAGACTTAGCTGAGTGTAGTGGTTCCACACTTTCGACGTGCGGCGATCCGAAAATGGCAAAAAACGCTGCATTCTCCTTCTTAGATTTTGACCGCTGAGGATTTCAGGATGCCTTTGTGGTGGGAGATCCATGTCTGTGGTGAAGCATAAAACAAAAATACATTTAAAACGAGTAAAACAGGATTACACAGGAACTTAGCACAATTACACTTGAAATTGACACTAAAAGAAACTATGGTAAAACTTTAATCCTAAATCCTTAATGTGATGTCAAGGTTTTTTGGAACCAATACATGTTTTCCATAGAAATGGTAAGTCAAGGTTAATATGTGATGTTTTCTGAGGGTCAACACAATTCACGTAAAACTAAAGAATTAGCACTGTGTGTATTTGTTTAATTTCTGACCCGTTGCTATGACATTACTCACATACAGTTTTTTAAAAATCTTTTGTCATAGAGTGTCTCAGCTCACCAAAGTCTCAGCTCACCGAGTTTCTAGCTAGCTACACTGTTTCCAAAACAAAATATTTGCATTTGGTTATATAAAATTAAGAGGTTTTTACATCTACAATATAGCTTTCGTGTTGCAGTTTGTTTTTAATTCTACACTACCCATCACATCTTGGTTCAATTATTTTTTTATCTCAGATGTGGCTGGTTGTAGAACATTTTACAGTCGCAACTGCAGCACTGTGAAAAACTATAAAAGAACATATATTTGTATAAGAGAATGTGGTTTTAGGTATATATATATATATATATATATATATATATATATATATATATATATATATTTCCCCAGACTCAGTGACTTAATATTAAAAAAGTCCTTAAAACTACAAGTATATAATCCATGTAGTAGTCACTCATAATAATGTATTTCATAAAACTGTCTAATTATAACAGAAACTGTTGAGAAATAACTGTAGATGAATATAGCATGTCGCACAGCAAGACTCTGCCGTCTCCGCTTCAAATTAATTCAAAAACATTTTTGTTTCTAGCGGAAATATTTTGAATGAATTATAAGGTTTGTATTATGATAATGACTCCACATCAATCACAGCAAAAGAGTATTTAGGCACAGAACAATAACCATGCAACATGATACTAATGAAACAAATCCGCTATTATTTACATCAAACGTCACTGGATGTTCTTCCGGGCGTGTAAAGGGCCATTATGGTTTCATCCACTTCCTGCCTGTGTTACCTCCATTAAACAGTACACGATTCACCGACAATAACTTGTACACCTTATTTTCTTATCTGAAAATAAATAATATCTTATTAGTAATATATATTTTGAAAAAAATCTCAGAATCCGTGCACAACCTCCGCGCGTTTGCGACCTACACACTGGATGTGTTTAGCACGATGCCCGTTAGGGTACAAGGGTAAGTTGTTCGCAGCCAAGCAAAGCGAACAATGTCCATCATTCACAGGTTTATATAACTACGCGACACTATTCATGTAGGAAACGTTTACTTGTTGAAATTAATTAATTAATAACGTATATGTACAAAAAAGTAACGAGATAATACCACAGCACTGTCGACTGTTATTTTGAAAACAACTATTTACCGACAGTCCCTAAAGTTGAATTTACTTCCGATTTCCGCATGATGTGTCGATAAAACAAATAACTTCATTCTAGGCGACGTGAATGAGATATAGCTTGGATATCATTCCATACAGTCCAGTTCAAGCCTAATCTGACAAAATGGATTATTCTGGAAAAGAAAAGGAAGCCTTGGCCATTATGGCTGAGGCAGACAAGAAAATGAAAACGTCGCATTCGCTGTTAGGAACGTTTTTCGGGTAAATCTATTATTAATGTTTATTTATTTTTATTTATTTTTTGCATCTCTGCAATATTGAAAGTGCAAATCTTTCTTAAAATCTAACTGAAGTGATTGGTATTAATTAGTATCCGTTTGCAACAAACAATATTGATATCGATCATTGTTATTAATTTGGATTAAAAAGCAATACTTTTGAAATTGCATTATTTGTAATATAACGTTGTTCGCATTAAGCTGTCATAAATCTACTATAGTTATCCGCAGATTTTGCACAAAAGTGATTCGGTCAGCTAGCCAAGTAACGTTAGCATCGCACTGCAAGCATAAAGCGTCATAATAAATAGAGTTGGGCGCACGGAATGAAGCGTTTCCTTGTCGCTTTAATTCATACTCTACTCAAACCCAATGCACACTAAGTAATGTTGCTCGTTTTGCCCTGATTTAATACTTTTTTGAAACTCACCCATGTTGCCTTCGCCTGGCCCTTCCGCGCACAGTCTCTCTCCGCCGCTGGCTACTGCGGGGATGTTCAGTCGATGTTTCACTCTGAGGTGTTTTATCATGTTAGCAGTATTTGAGGAGAACTTAAAGTCCGTCTTACACAGCCTGCAGTAAACAGTGGCATTGCTCTCATTTTTAATGTAGTACTTCCAGGCTATTGAACAATATCGGGCCTGTGTTTTCACACTGATTTCTGGGTCCTCTTGCTTCATGTTGGCCATATCAGGTCTGAAAACACGTTGTATGAGTGCAGGGGACGACAGATGTTAATAGCGCCGCCTAATGGTTTGAGTGAATCTCCTCTCTCGCTTTTGTTCATTGTACTGAAGGAGTTCCTCCAAGGTCGAGGAGGCCTGTGACTTGTACGTGAGAGCAGCCAACATGTTCAAGATGGCTAAGAACTGGAGTGGTACGATACACAACAACCTTTGCACCACTGTAGGGATAGTTCACGCCAAAATGAAAATTCTGTCATTAATTACTCTCCCTCATGTCGTTCCAAACTTGTAAGACTTTCTTTCACCTTCAGAACACAAATGAAGATTTTTTGATGAAATCTGAGAGATTTCTGTCCCTCCATTGACAGCTACGCAACTACCACGTTGACGCTTCAAAAAGATCATAACGAGATCGTACAACTAATCCAAATGAATTGAGTGGATTAGTCCAAATCTTCTGAATCATTTTATATGATGGACAGAATGAATTTAGGCTTTTTATTCACATATAAACATTCATCATTTGTAAACGGAAGCTCAAGTATGTTCACTTGACGTTTGAGAACCAATGAGGTTCATTCTCGTGTTACGCAGCACGTTTGAGCTTCTGTTCATGTTCGCTGATCAATGTTTAAATTAAATCTAACCCTAAATTGAATCTGTTCATCATATAAAGTGGTTGTGTCTCTTCAGAAATTTTGGACTAATCCGCTCAATTCATATGGATTAGTTTTACAATCTCTTTATTTATAAATTTTGAAGCATCAAAGTGGTAGTTGCGTAGCTGTCAATGGAGTGACAGAAAACTCTCAGACTTCATAAAAAAGATCTTCGTTTGTGTTCCGAAGATGAACAGAAGGCTTACGGGTTTGGAACGACGTGAGGGCGAGTAATTAATAAACGAATGCAATTTTGGGTGTACTATCCCTTTAAGGTGTACAATAAGCACATGGCAGTTCTATTGTTAATTTTTTTTTCTTCTTTATTTAAGCCGCTGGAGATGCCTTCTGCAAAGCCGCACAACTCCATTTGCAGGTGGAAAGCAAGCACGACGCAGCCGTTAACTTTCTTGATGCTGGAAATGCATTCAAAAAGTCTGATCCTCAAGGTCCGGCTCTCATTGTTACTTTTAAAGACTGAACAATAAAAATCTCAAAGTATGTAGTGTTTCTATTTCAAAAGGAGTTTAATTTGTATAATGGCTCTCCTACAACTTCTCTACACAGAGGCTGTAAACTGTTTCTGTCAGGCCATTGACATCTACACTGATATGGTGAGAAAAACTATATTATTCACCCAAAAATGAAAGTTCTGTTATCATTGACTCACCCTCATGTTGTTTCAAACCCGCAAGACTTTCGTTCATCTTCGGAACACAATGAAGATGTTTTGGTCAAATCTGAGGGATTTCTGTCCCTTCATTGACAGCTACGCAACTACCACACTTTGACACTTTAAAAAGTTCATAAAGAGATTGTATAATTCATATGAATTGTTCAACCACAATTCAACATTGTATATGTAATATGGGTGCTTGTTTTTGTTTTGTCTATAGTGATACACTTCTCTGAATATTCCTTAGAAATTCTCATCTGTGTCCACAGGGGCGTTTCAACATTGCAGCCAAACACCACATATCTATTGCAGAAATCTATGAATCTGAGTTATTGGACATAGACAAAGTAAGTTGGAAGTGATCTTTTTTTATGGAAAGGTGCACATTTATCAGTAAGTGGTTCAGATGAATATGGACAGTATGTCAAAAGCATAAAAATACACTACAATTTGTGGTTTTTAATTCAGCAAGGATGCTGTTTTTTAAGACGTTTCTCAACATTTTTAATAAAAAATGTTTCTTGAGCAGCAAATCAACATTGAACAATTTCTGAAAGAGTGCGTGACACTGAAGTCTGGAGTAATTATGCTTAAAATTAGGCTTTGCCATCTCAGGAATAAATGACATTTTAATATATATATTAAAATAAAAAAATAGTTATTCTTAATGTCAACTTTTGGAATGGTAGTGTATTTGCTTATGCATCAGATGATCCATACTGAGCCTGTCACGTTACAGAGAGCCCCCTTATAAAAGAAAAATAGTGTTAATGTTCATTCATTTGTTATTATTTGGTCCCAAAATACTTATTTATGTGTACAGGCCATTGTTCATTATGAACAGGCAGCCGATTATTTCAAAGGGGAGTCATCCACCAGGTACTATACTATAGTTTTTATATGTTTCACATTTATCAGAAGTGTTGTAGAACAAATTAGGTCTGAACTAAGAAGTTGTGTTGTAATTAAATGATTGCATTTAATGTTATCATACTAAAATCTCTTGTACTCTCTCTCTCTCTCTGTAGTGCAGCCAACAAGTGTCTTGTCAAAGTGGCGACCTATGCGGCTCAGATGGAGCAGTACCCGAAAGCCATTGAAATATATGAGCAGGTCTGTGTGATCTTCTGTGGAAAACCTGTGTTCATTTGTTTTCTTCACCCTTCATGTTGAGTGGCATATTGTGTCTGTTCAGATTGGGATTTACTCCATGGACACTACCCTGTTGAAGTATGGTGCTAAAGACCATTTCTTCAAAGCAGCGCTGTGTCACTTCTGTGTGGACATGCTCAACTGCAAGGTGACTGATTTGACCTGTTCACAGTCTGAAGAAGAATGATATTTACAATGCAACTCTCTGCTTTATCATTATTTAATCCGTGTTCTCTTCAATAGCTGGCTGTACAGAAGTATGAAGAACTCTTTCCAGCTTTCTCAGATGCTAGAGAGTGCAGACTTCTTAAGGTGAGTCTTTTCTCCTTAGTTTATTCCATAGACTTCAACTGTGATCTCAGGGCCTGTTTACACCTGGTATTAAGATGCGTTTTGGTCAATCAGATTATATAAGTAGACGAGGGAGACTCATTCCCGTTTACACCTGGTGTTTTAATCCGTCGCTTTTGTCCACTTTCAACCACTTCTGTCCTGATTTCTCCGAGGTGGGGGTCTATGGGCGGGATTATGTAGGGTTTTTTCAGATCTTTCAATCTAATGGAAGAAATAAGCTTGGACAATTTACATATGAACACACACACTGACGACGGAAAAACATACGGAGAGCATCAGTTTTCGTTTCCGCTCTGACAGTCGTAAGACCACACCAAATGCTGTGAGTGTGTGTTAGAAATCAGGATTGCTGAGAGAACATTGTGCTTGGTACGTTTTCATCTTCAAACCAAACTTGGGTCTCCAGCCGACAAAGTTTAAATCGCGCCTGTATTGCGCACTTCCCATAATCTTTCCACATTAGGTCAGAAGGCGGAGAATAGACGGTCTTTTGTGACAGTTTGAACACATTCGACCACATGAGCGTTTACACTACGAAAGCAATCCGGTCTAATACGTTTTCGACTACCTCTGGAAGTGGTTAGAAGTGGACAAGCTCAAAACATTTTAGACCCCATTTACGCCTGTATTTAGTGTCGTCCACTTGTGATCGATCAACCAAACACATCTAGATTCTGGGTCAACATCAGTTGAGATTGAAGGTGGAAGCTTTGCCCAAATCCTTATCTTTATCTATTAGGTTTCCATTGTCTCTTTTAATTGTTTTGTATATTTTTATATATAAACACTACCGTTCAAAAGTTTGGGGTTGAGAAGTCTCTTCTGCTTACCAAGACTACATTTTATTACAAATACAGCGAAATCTTTGTGAAATATTATTACAAATTCAAATAACTGTTTTCTATTTTAATATATTTTAAAATGTCATTTATTCCTGTTACGCAAAGCTGTATTTTCAGCGTCATCACTCCAATGATCCTTCAGAAATCATTCTAATATGCTGATTTGCTGCTCAAGAAACATTTCTTATTATTATCAATGTTGAAAAAACAGAAAATCAATTTAATGCATCCTTGCTGAGTAAGTAAAGTATTTCTTCTTCTTCTTCTTCAAAAAAAAAGTACCATCTCAAACTTTTGAATGGAAGTATTTGAACATTTTGTGACGCTTTATACAAAATAATCACAATGTTTCTGCATTTCACAATAAACAGAAACTTCTTGATGCATATGAAGAGCAGAATATTGACGCATACGTTGATGCAGTAAGTTCTCTTTGTATATTGTTTCAGGTTTTACATAATTCCCTGCACACATTTTTACCAGTGGTAGTTCATTCATGAATTAAGGCCCGTTCACGCCAAAAACGATAACTACATTAGCATCCACACCAGCGGACGATATCATTCTGTTTATTCTAAGTGTGCTGCAGTTTTGTGCGCCTGTCACTTTAAATGCTCGAGCTCTTTAAAGCGGAATGGATTCTGATTGACATTGCCAATGTTTTTATCGTTCATCAGCTGGAAAAAAATCGTTCTGTGATTCCAATGATATATCGTTCCTCTCTGCCATTATCGTTATACTTGTGGTGTGGACTCTGCTATTCTTTTGTATTTAGAACGGTTTTTAGAACTATATCTCTATAGTTATAGTCCTTGTGAACGGGCCTTTACTCTATGCAATATTCTGCAATTATTATTATTATTATTATTATTTTTCATTAGGTAAGGGAATTTGAATCCATCTCCAGGCTTGATCAGTGGCAGACCACTATGCTACTAAGAATCAAGAAGACCATTCAGGACGATGAGAATGACCTTCGCTAATGTGAAGTCATGATTCCAGTTCTCCTGTCCTTCCTCTCTCTTTCTCACAGTGTAAATTAAGGTCACGTACATTTTGTCTTGAGCCTTTTTCTCCCAAATCCTACAGTCTTAAAGGAAATATAACTTTTATCCCCTAGAACACTTTGAAGTCTTCTAGAATGATACTGGGTAGGATTTATGTTACAAGCTTTGACCACAACTTCCCCTTGTGGTAAATGTAACTCATTAGAAATGTGATTGTTTATGTGTTAACATTTTCATTCATGTGTGTGCAGCTTCAGTAGTCGTTTTATTTATCGTTCTTTTATTAACGGTTGTAAATTAACTTTTTATTTTTTTTATTTATTGATCCAGTCGCAAGGCTTTGTATGTGTCAACAATACTTAGTAGAATTTATTAGTGATTATAATTATTATTATCAGTGATTATAATGATTATAATTAAGTATTTATAAATTGTGCAAAATACTGTAACTATGATCAGCTAGAATCAGCTGAAACAACACTAATTGCCATTGTCTTGGTTTCCTCTATGGAGGACATGCTTGGGTGATAGTTCACCTGAGAATTAAAATTCTGTCATCGTTTACTCACCCTCAAGTTGTTCCAACCCTGAATGAATTTCTTTCTTCTGTTGAACACAAAAGAAGATATTTTGAAGAATATGGGTTACCAAACAGTTGATGGACCCCATTGACTTCCATAGTATTTTTCCCCCCTCCATACTATGGAAGTCAATGGCGTCCATTAGCTGTCTGGTTACCCATATTCTTCAAAATATCTTCTTTTGTGTTCAGCAGAAGAAAGAAATTCATACACACTCATGACTAACTGTGCAATTTCTTTATGATGTATTGTGAATTAAATCGGTTTTTAACAACCATTAGGACACATTTTTTAGTACTTAGGTCACGTTTTCAGAACTCATATGCAGTCTATTTGGGCTAAACTGTGGATCATTGCTCATTGCTTTGGCTACTTTCAAATGACAAAGTCGTTTCTCACTTAGACACAACCTCCGATAAAACTCAGTTTGCACATTTACATACTCTTTCCAAACTGTTAAACTTAAGTTCAAAACTTAAGCTAAAAACAAAAACACAAAAATGAATAAGATGGCAATTAGCTGCATTTTTTACAAGTAATACCACATTGAAATTTTCTGAATCTAAAAAATTAAATACTATCAAAACAATTTGATAGAGCTGAACACCTACATAGGCGTTTATGAGCCATTCACACAGAACGACGCAACGCAGGTCAATGGAGCAAAAAAACTCTATAAAAAACGTGCACTTTAAAAGTTAAACTTATTTTAACTTGAACGCCACAAATGACGCGAACACAACAGTTAATCACTTCCGTCTAGCGCGTGTTTACATAGAAAAAGTAGCGCAGTGTAATGGAAAACTGCGTTCTGTGTGAACCAGCCCTTGGATTTTTTTTCAATTTCACCATCTGTACAAAAGGGACCATTTAGGAATAATTTTGTAATGTAAACATGGACCATGCAGTGAAATGTTGTTTTTGTTTTGTTAAGAGAAATTTTACAAAAGAAAACTGTGTAATGCTACTTGTTGCTAGTGTTTTTTAGGTTGTTGTTTTATGGTTGACAGTGCATTTGTGTAGGCTACTAATGTTATGGAAGAATGACTTGAAACTGTGTGAAGAGTTTTGAAAAAGTGACCCAAGTATTGAGAAATATGGTCGAACGATTGTAAAAAAAAAAGAAAGAAAAGAAATTCGTACCTGAGGAACGAGCTTGCCATGAAGTTTGTCAGTTTTATTTAAGCTAATATCATGCTGAGTTTAGTTTATTGATGTTAGAGTACTAATAGGATCATATTGTTTGTTACCTAAAAGGCACTAGAAATTATAGGCATCTTATTTATAAAGTTGATCATCTTTGGAGCTTTTTGGATGACAATTTTATCTGCATACACATAGATGCTTACGACTAATTGTGTACCAATACATGAACATAAGCATGAAGAAAAAAAGCATGACTGAATAAGCTTAATGTAACAAAAAAATGAAGTGTAACACAAAGTACAGTGTTTGGAGCGAGGTGTTACAACAGTCGACGCATGCGTGTATTCATCAAAGCTCTTATGTTAAACTGATTTTAAAAGCAAATAAATTATATGATTCCCTCAAGTTTTGTAAAGTCTTATTTCATCGATATATACACAAACATATACAAAGACACTGTTTAGATTCCTTAATGAATCTGACCTTAAATATCCTTTCACATGTAAGTTTAAAATATTCTAGCTGACCACCCAGTGTGATTTAAGGCAACCGTTATTTTAGAATGCATCACATCATTATTATAAACCTTTATAATGATTATGTTAGCTGATCTATAACGCGCGATGGGCGTTGCCATGTTAGTGCCACAATTCAGAAAATATTATCTGTCGGATTTACAACATGTCAATTCATCCACTTCTCCCGAAATACTTGAAAGTAAGTGGCCGATAAAGTGGGAGAAGACTAGAGTAAATTCTATAGTTGGGTCATTCTACGGAAATGTCCATTTTTCTGTCCCTAGCCTTTACACAAATATTACACTTAAAAAAAAACACTTTAGAATTACAATTTCTTTACATTTTAAAATCAAACAATATGTTATTTGAACAATTACACCTTCTTGAGCCATCAAGTGGCAATATTTTATTTTTTATTAATTATATAGAATTCCAAGCACTACAGAAGTGCTCGTCCCCACAGTCATGCACAGAGGGAAAATGCTTTATTTTGAGGTCAATAACAGGTTTTTACACCATTTAAAATAGAATAATGTATACATAACTATCAAATATGTTATGTAAATGACATAAAAAAAATGCAGAATAAATATTATAAAATTTATAATGAAAGTAGTGGTCCCCTGGAGTTTACTCACTGGTGTTACCGTTAAACAAAAATCTCTTATTTTGAAATAAAAATCACACTGATGACATCACTTGACTTCCTTCTTCCAATTTCCTGAATTTCTATGAAGAAAAGCCCATAATAAATCCTCAGTCTCTTTTCAGTTATCAGAAATATTCTCATTTATCTTATGATTTCATATGAAGCTTTTAGTTGAAAGTTAAAAAAATGAGAATACAAATGGATTAAACTACTTAATTTAGTTAGTATACCATGATTGACAACATGTGGTTTGATACCTTGCAGCAGCCATTTTGTAAAATGAATTTTTCATGAAAATTGTCACTGGTGTTACTGTCACTGGTGTCCTTTCTTATGGGTAACTCCCATTTATAGATCAACTTTACTCAAAGCTATTCATTTAGATTATATGCCAAATGTAACAATTTAGTCTCATCTACTTAATTATAGTTGAAGAATAATGATATTTGGTCTTATGCATGTCATTGGTGTGTCACTGGTGTTACCGTCTTCCCATTAAATACAATGCCATATGTGACATGATAATAATTTCACATCCATTTAATTCTGCTACACTCAAACGTTAAGATTTAAAGGATTGCATCATTACTTGATTTGAACTGGTTTTCAAATATTTTAATTGTTATAGCAAAAACAAGGCTGCGCAAATGAACTAACCTCATTCAAGCACACTTTTAACAAAAATAAATAAAACAATCTCCTTTTTTGTTGCATTATTATTATTTTTTGGTAACTCTGACTACATGTGCTGAAAAAAAATTGAAATAATATTTCATAAAAAAATTGAATATTGCCAAAGTAGTAAGGTAACACCAGTGACAAAAAAAATGGTACATGCGATCTTTAAATAAATGCACAAAAAATATAAAAGATCATTAAGCTGTCATGTATGCATATTCATAAAGTCAAAGGGTAATCTAATAATGTGGTGTAAGTTTAAATGTTAGAAAAAGAAATACATTTTAAGACATCTTGCCATACCAAAAGTGGACGTTTCTGTAGAATGACCCAGTTACCTAATACCTACACAATGTGTATCTGATATCAATAAAACACGTTGTCAATTTATATAGTCTGTATGATACACTGAACGTTCTAAAAGGTGTGATCGTACGCAAAGGGTTAAACATCTGAACAAACTCCAGGTTTATTTTTGTCCATTTCAGAGTCACACCTCCATTTTAACCATCATCATCCTCCTCCTCATCTTCCAGATCCTCTGTCTCTTCCAGGGCCGCCGTCTGCTCCTCCAGGGCTGCTTGCAAAGCCTGCTCTTCCTCCACGCTGGGGTCCTGGGCCTCTGTGATTTCGGGTCCGCTGGGGTATTCGCTGTGGGGCGGTGGAAGCATTATTGGGGTGTAGGCCTCTCCGATATATTTCAACCCCCAACCGATGTATATGTTTCCAAAATTCCTGAGAGGGAGCAGAAAAATGCTTTAATTCAGCAGAAAAAGCATCAGATTAAAAGAGATGGTTAGATGGGCTGTTAGTAGGTATTTAGTTTTAAAAAGTAAGGTTCTTACTTGCCACTTGCATAAGCATAAGCTCCAGGCCAGAGGTTGGAGCGCAGCACAGCGATGGAAAACTGAGGAATGAGGTAGGAGGAGATCATGGAGCTCCAAGGTGGGGTGTCATGAATCTCTGTGGACAGAGCGTTTTCTGCATTAGAGCTGATCATTTGAACTGTGCTGGAGGTGTATTGTATGTAAATGTGATGCAGTGTGACTGACTTGCATCCTCAGACAGAGGCGTCAGAAGAGGAGGGCCAATCTCAGGCTCCGGCTCGTCAGGTTCTTCCTCCTTCTCTTCCTCCTCGGCATCTTCATCAACGTCATCCGCTGACTTCTTAGTTATGTTTACCCACACACAGCGGCCCTAATATTCACATGTACAGTAATGTGCAAATGTCTTGGAAATGTTTTTATGGTGAAAAATCAAACATACCTAAGCATTCATTTTGCCATTTAATGGGCAGTCAACCCCAAAATAAAAATTCTATTATTTACTCCCCCTCATGTAATTCAAAAACCTGTATGAATTTGGTTCTTCTGTGGAAAATTAAAGAGGATATTTTGAAGAAAGTTTCGGTTCCCTCTATGGAGAAAAATGGATGTCAGTGGAAACAGAAACAGTTTGGTTTTCAATGTTCTTAAAAATATATTTATTGGTGTTCCACAGAAGAAAGAAATGCATACAGGTTTGGAACAATATAAGGGTGAGTAAATAATGATGATTTTTTTTTTTTTTTTTTTTGTGGACTATCCAGTGAGATATTTGTATAAAGATATTTGCACAAAAAGTCGGACATTAGACAATATGATCCACACAGAAATCTGACCTCACTATTATCGAGTCCGTCTGGGATTCCATGAAGAGTGAATGAATTTAATGTAAATACTGTTCATTTTATTGTTTATTTTCATAAAAAAAATGACTACTGAATTTTAAGTGACCATGAATTTATGGTGTAGTTATTTTATTGAGTTATTTGAGGGCCCATGAAAGTTTATATTTTATTTTATTCTTTCAAATTTGGCAAATCTGGTAATTTTCTCTATTTTTCCAAACCATTTGGACCACACTAGCTATGTTTCCATCCACACGTTTTTATCCGCATTAAGTGATATCGAATGAAAAATGTCTTATGGAAACAGTAAAAATCGATTGAATTTCATGAATATCGACTCGAATGAAATACGATCGGTCTCATCGGATTTTATCTTGATCGATATACGGCTTATGCGATAAACGGGGATGGAAACGTTGTTATGGCGCGATCCATTTTGCCGAGTAAAACTTTGTTCGCAAATGTTTGCTTGAATGTTGTGCAATTCGGTGAGAAAATGAATGGAAACACCTTAACATGTCTCAAATCAATTCGATATACCAATTTGATAGCAAAACAGCATGTGACGTCATTACGCACAGGTTTTTATCCACTTTAAAGCCGTTTGATGGAAACACACTTTCACCAGCTTTATTCGCATGAGGGTTTTTTTGACCAAACTTCAGATAATTTGCTTGACAAGTGGATGGAAACATGGCTAATGATTGATATATTGTTATGGTAATATATAACATATGTAAAAGGGACACTGCAGAAACAAAGTGTTACCAAAAACGTACTCCAATATCCACTACTATGGACATTTTAGGGTGGATGAATTCCCAACACCATTTGTCTGTTTCTTACCTGTGTAAGTATGTGCTGTACATGATGGACCCATAGATTCAGAGACTCAGCCATCTCATTTACATGAATGCCCTCAAAGTTAGGATTCTCCTCAAAGCTGTCTCGCAGTCCTTCATCCTCTCCTTCATCCTCCCCAAACTGGTAGAATCCCAGAGGGCTGACGTGCGTGCCGGCTGAGATCCGTGCGATCTGGGCACGCAGGTAGTTGGCCTCATTGCCAGGAAAGGGAGGGAAACTTACAACAGGAGCATCAAGCCTGCCTGAGAAGAGGCTGCGGATCTGCCGTGCTGCTGTGATCTGAGCGGGGGTGACCACCGGCAGTCTGACCCACGGCATGCCGGGCTCTTGACACACAAAATAAGTGAATTTATTGACGCCAGTGTGATTTTCTTCCTTTGGCACTGGCGGAGGTGGCTTGTAAGTTGATTTAGGGGGTGGATCAGCCTGCAAGTAGAGTTCAATCATTTTTGTCAAGTTTGAATGTACAAAGTCTTAAGAATTTTCTGAAGAGACACAGTCGCCACCCAAAGACACACCCATCTAAACCAAGGTGCCACATTCACAAATCATTCATTAAAGAGCAAGTGCCCACGCAAAAGTAAAAAACATAAAATGTTCACAATACAATGAGAATCGAAGTGTCTTAAATGCACTCAAATGTGACTAAGACACTTCGATTCTCATTGTATTGTGAACATTTTATGTTTTTTACTTGTGCGTGGGCACTTGCTCTTTAATGAATGATTTGTGAATGTGGCAACTTGGTTTAGATGGGTGTGTCTTTGGGTGGCTTACGCCCTGTTTACGCACTGTCACACCTGCTGATGATCCTTATTAATTGGCTTCATTGCCCATTTTCTCCAAGGACTCTGATGAAGATGTAACTTTACATCGAAACGTTAGTCATTGTTATGCACCTTAAATACATTTATTAACTAGAAGACATCTGTGCTGCACCGGCGATTCCTTCTTTTTAACCAATGAGGTTAGTTCTCGCATGTCAAGCAGGTTCGGTTGAGCTTCTGTTTATGTTCGCTGATCAATGTTTAAATTCAACAAATTCAATCTGTTAATCATATAAAGCAATCAAGTCTCATCAGAAAATTTGGACTAAACCGCTCAATTCATATGCACTAGTTTTACTATCTCTTTATGAACTTTTTGGAGCGTCAAAATGGTAGTTGCGTAGCTGTCAATGGAGGGACAGAAAGCTCTCAGATTTCATCAAAAAAGATCTTCGTTTGTGTTCCGAAGATGAACGAAAGTCTTACGGGTTTGGATTCGGAACGACATGAGGGTGAGTAATTGATGACAGAATTTTCATTTTTGGGTGAACTATCCCTTTAAAGGTCAGATGACGTTACCAAAACCATTATCTATGGAAGCTTGTTTCTGCCATGGAATAAAAAGATAATTGTGATTTCTTATCTTGCAATTCTGACTGTTTTTCTCACAATTGCAAGTTTAAATATCACAATTCGGACTTTATAACTCGCAATTCTGACACTTTTTATCGGAATTGTGAGATTTAAACTCACAATAGAGAGTTATAAAATCTGAACTGCGAAATATACTGTAAAATATAAAAGAAGCAAAAAGTCGCAATTACATTTTTTATTCCGTGGCGGAAACAAGCTTTCGTTATTTTCTATTGTCAATAGTGTAGCGATGTATAAAGCTCACACAGAAGTCACTTTCAAACCAAGCAGCTTTCTGTTGGTCAACAATGGACATTTTTTGCCTACAAAATTTCACAAATGTGACTGTACGATATTTAGAGCAGTTTCATTTACTTCAGTTGCCGTTTTGTGACTTACCGCTTCTACAAGCTCTGCTTCATCCTTGTCCTCCTTTGACTCTTCCTCTCTCTCCTCATCCTCATTTGATGGTTCTGTGCTCTCCTCCTCCTCCCCTTCACCCTCTCTGAATTCCCCCTCAGCCACCAGGTAGTTGCTCTGTGTGCCGAGGATCTTGCCCCAGATTCGACAGCGCTGGAGACACTGTGTGTCCACCAGTTGTTTTAAAGCCAGAAAGATTCTCTGCATCTCCTCTTTCCCCAGACCCACACCAGCTTGCTCAAAGAAGAACGCCAGTTCTGCAACATTCGGTAGAGGAGAATCCACCTGAAAATGATACAGAAGAATGTATTACAGAAACGTCAAAGTGGTAGTCGCGTAGCTGTCAACAGAAGTACAGAAAGCTCTCAGATTTCATCAAAAAGATCTTTTGTGTTCCAAAGATGAACGAAAGTCTTAAGGGTTAGAAACGACATGAGGGTGAGTAATGACAGAATTAAAAATTTTGGGTGAACTATCCCTTTAAATCACACTCCACAATGTCTGAATGTGATTGCATTAGATGACTACTTACATAATCTAATTGCATTGATTTAATAGACAGCACAAGTACACTTTTCAAGCAAAGCATTTAACAAAAAAGGTTAGGTTTTAACAGTTTAAAAAGCATTATATGGGCCCACAGGAGAGAAACTTACAAGCTCTTCCTCGTGATCACCTTCCCCGCCTGCCGCACGTTTGAAGAGTGTCTTCTGCTGCTCAGCCAGCAACAGAGCTGAGGATGAGGATGGATTGTCACGCAAGGTGTCCTGCTTCTCCTGAAGGATACTTCCTTTCAGCTCGCGACTCATGTCCTCGATCACATCGACAGCATTCTCTGGACGCTCATCCATAACTTTGGTTAACAGTCGTACAAGGTGGTCATAGCTGGACAAAGAAGTTCAGTTTAGAACAAAAACCTCCAAGACTTTTGTTCATCTTCTGAACACAAATTAAGTGTTTTTGATGAAATTTAAGCTTTCTGTCCCTCCATTGACAGCTATGCAAATACCACTTTGACGCTTCAAAAAGTTCATAAACAGATAGTAAAACTAAACCATATTAATCAAACGGTTTAGTCCAAATTTTCTGAAGAGACACGATCGCTTTATATGATGAACAGATTGAATTTAGGCTTTTATTCACATATAACCATTCATCAACTCACACTAGTTGTGGTAAACGGAAGCTCAAGCATGTCCGCTTGATGTGTGAGAACCAATGAGATTAATTCTCATGTTACGCAGCACGTTTGAGCTTCTGTGAGAACCAATAAGGTTAGTTCTCCAGCGTCAAGCAGGTTCGGTTGAGCTTCTGTTTATGTTCACTGATCAATGTTTGAATATGAATAAATTGTATCTGTTAATCATAAAGCAATCGAGTCTCTTCAGAAAATTTGGACTAATCCGCTCAATTCATATGCATTCGGTTTCGATCTCTTTATTAGGCATAAAAAAAAAATTTGTTTGGTTCCGGTTTCCGACCGACCCTGTTAATTTATGTGCGACCCAAATTTATTTTATGAGCTTGGGGAATAAATAATAAAAATTAAATAAATACACTAATAAAAAACTTTGAGGCGAACTATAATTTAAGTTTTTGTACAGCACCGTATTTTTATAGCACGCGATGCAAGATGCCTGTTGTCCTCCAGCAAAACAAACGAGGCAGCTACATCGTTCACACATCGTTCGTCAAACTGAACTATAATACATATAAAAGTCTTTTTTTTTTTAAAGAGTAACCTCCATCCACCTCCCAAGTTTCATTAAAAATCATCCCAAATCCCAATCCCCTCTTCAGCTGTCTACCACTTCTTTCGCCATGTATTTGTTCGTTTCTTTTATGCAATCCAAAACACTCTAAACTGCCGCGCTTCGTATCTCCAGAGCCCGTCTAACTTGTCCGGGACAAATGGATTTTTGAAGGACAAAGTTAGAGAATTTTACTTCCCCGAACGGACAAGTAACTTAGCCTGATTAGAACATCAATAACAAACAAAAAAATAACTAGGGAATCACTAAACCGAGAGAATGATTCTGATTTTATTACAATTATTATAAATTGCGATCGATTGTGGATATGTATTAGTCTACTGACGGTGAGGTTGCGCTGTTGACGCTCGCGTAGCCTCTCGAGGAGAAATCTAACGTTACACACATGAGTGCAGCACACACACACTCAGTTAACAACATACTGCCTATAAAAATCTAAATGTGGAGTTTCTATATTTTAACATATGTGTTAAGCAGCCTCAATTATTTTTCCTGAATACCATATCCCGATTGAAAATGTGACATTGATTTCCTACAACAGTTCAATAAACAGTTAAAATTAAGTCACTTACATTTTAGATGCAATGAATATTGGCTGTTTTTGTTCTGTTTTAGCAGCAAAAATAGTTCCAAACAAAAATCACAGCAGAACCACGGCGCATCTCACAGGAACACTCATCCTGTTTTCATTACTGAATGATTCAGCATTTTGACCGAATCGGTTGAGTCAAAGATTCAATGACCCATTCATTAACATCTGTCTCATTCTTGAATGAATCAACCGTTTAAACGAATCGTTTGAATTAATGAATCAATGACTCACTCATTAATACGGCCGCCTGCCGCCACCTATTGGCAGTTTAGTGTTATGTTTATAAGTAGCCTAGTATACTTCTTTCTAATGTTTCTTATTTGTATATTTAAATAAATTCCATAACGTTATTTTATGCAATTGTAATTTTTCAGTGTAAATTATTTAATTTGATCAGCCCTACCTAGGGTAACAGTATGCTTCATCTTTCATTTTAAATTCCTAAATTTGATCAATAAATTCAATTATTTAGAATAAGATGACACTATAGGGCATTTAATAAGATTGGGGGAGGGGATGCCCTTCAAAGGTGCAGATATTACAATATGCCGATTTAAATATCAAAGCTGATTGAACACTGATGAGAACATCGCTTCAGAATAAAAAATAAAAAATAAAAGCAACTTTTTTACTCTGACAAGTGAATGACAGATTTACTTGTTCGGAGGGCAAGCACATGAAAAGGCTTAAGGTCGAGCCCTGAATAATTTCCTACCTATCCCCTTGCTGCTGCCACTGAAAAAAAAAAAAAAAAAATCCCTACTGACCCATGACCTCAACTGACAACCAACCGGAACCAAACTTTTTTTTTTTTATGCCCTAGGCTTCCATTTTGAAGCGTCAAAGTGGTAGTTGCAGTAGCTGTCAATGGAGGGACAAAAAGCTCTCAGATTTCATTAAAAAGATCTTCATTTGTGTTCCGAAGATGAACGACAGTCTTCAGGTTAGGAACAGTAATTAATGACAATTTTAATTTTAGGGTGAACTAAACCTTTCTGTTCTCCAAAATATCGGCATTTTTGTAACAAAGTTACAATGACAATTACAATTAAATAAATATATTAACTGCTAACATAAATGTAAGTTCAGACAAGTGTTCTGGCAAATAATGCTACCTATCATCAGACAGTGCTACCAAAACTATATTTTCATTGTAGGTGTAGGGTAGGTAACGTTAGGGCTAATAAAGCCTCAAACCACATAGTAATGTTGGGAGTGATGGGCAGCATTTTTCGTTGTCGAAGAACACCAGGACTTGTAGCCACAGGATTACTCAGTGTTAAACAGCATGTCCCCATTGTGACAACGTGCCCCACTAGATCAAAATATACGGTTATATTTTTTTCATATAGATATATTGGCAATAACGGTGGAAATGTGTGTTGAACTGAATGTTCGTTGTCTTCCAATTAACGTTACAGTTCTCTGTTTAGCGTCTGTTAAGATAACGGTGCTTTATAATGAATTAATAATTGTAATAACTTTAAAAAGGCGAAATACTGAATAGAACTAATGTGATATAACAGTTACTTACAGATTGAAGTTTGTTTTAGTGCTGTTCTTCATCATGAAAGCCTTAAAACGAGCCGCCGCCTGCAGTCGCTCATTGTTCAACGCTTCCTCGGTCATCTCCATTTTGGTAAAATTTAAAATTGTCGTCGACTAATTAAAAACAAACGGTAACTTATATATAGATATTTTTAATCCGTTTTCACGGATATTCGCTTATATTTTAAAGCAAATCTCCATGCACACAAACATCAGCGCATTTCCGCATAACAATTCCGTTGCCATGGAACTGCTGTGTAACTACAACAAACGTGTTGCCGAGTAGTTGGCCGAATGCTGTCAAAATGAACAATCATGACAGACTGAAGTACAATGAAGCACAGAGACCAATGATTTGTTTCTCATTTTTGTTGGTTTGAGATATTTTATTCTACAAATGAAACCACTGTGGCACATACAAAATTTGTTCTCAAACTAATTTAAACAAGTCATAACCTCAAAAGAACCAAAATATTCTTTTTTATATTTACGTCTAACGTTCAGATACACAATACACTGTGACTGAACAAAGCAGTAGAGAATGAGTCGTCGACTCAAAGTCAGTGCCTTCATTCAGCCTCATTTGAAATGGCATCAGTCCACACTGCTTTCTTCTGCTTCTGCGTCAACATCCTCAGACTCTTCTTCAGGTTCAGCATCCACATCCACGGGTTTAGCAACTGACTCTTCAATGGGTTCGTCTGTCTCTTCTGTGATGGAGTTGGACTGTGATACCTCCTCAGACACCTCCATCTGCTTAAAGTTAAAGTCATTGGTCAGCCATGCTATTCACTCTTGTACTGGTCTGTGATGATGATGATGATGATGATAACGTTTTACCTGCAATGCTTCTTCAGACGAGTCCTCCAGAGTAGATTCGGCTGTTTCTTCCTGCTCCATGGGCTCTTCTACTTCTTCCCTCCTGGCTGGGATCTGTTGTTGTTGTTGTGGTGGTGGTGGTGCTGGAGGTTCGGTAAACACTATGGGTGTCGGGGCTGGAGGTTCTGCTTGTGATACTGGTGCAGGCATTGATATATGCTTTGGTACTGGCACCTTAACAAACATAAGTGGACAAGAAAGAGCATTTTATTTCCACATTATCCAGAGATTATCTATCAACATAATTCTGTGTAGCAAGACTGTGTCCACGGACCTTTTTGAATCACGACACAGTCACATTAGCAAAATTTGTCTACTATCAAGTGTAGTGACTATGAAGCACAGCTCACAAAGTCGTCACTTTCAAAGAAAGCAGCTTTCAGTTGGTCAACGTGGCGAATTCACATGAACAACTTAAACTGGTTGCGAAATCTGGGAAATCTTTTACCTTCACACAAAATGGATAATTGTGTGGATTCCTATTGAAATGACTGGATTTCACCCATGAAAACAAACAAGAGTAAATGTGACTGCACAAAGTCAGTGTGGAATGAAAATTCACCCCATCTATTTTGTAAATGCATGTTATAAGTCTTATAGAGGTAAAAAAAAAAAAAAAAAAAAAAAAATTGATTATTTCATTAGAATGTCACAGGTCAATCTTCCAGTAAAAACACCTAAGCGAACTCCTGGTTCGCTTAGCGTTCGAACTGTCACTTTTAACTCCGAACCTAAATATACAAAACAAATGCTTGTATTACATATATTTCACGAAGGATCTTACTGAACATCCAAAACAATCCTGTGCTGGGTTAAATGCGTCATCATGTCCTGGTTTTGGTTTGTTGTAAAGTCTTTGGTCCATGTTGTGTTCATATTTCAGTCAATCTGCACTAGAGCTTGTTTGGAAGTGGGGCTGAGACCTGATCTCAAACTTGTTTGGTGTGCACCACGGTACACACCAAATGTTGGATGTTTGGTAAGATCTGTAACAAAATATACGTCATAAAAGCCGAACAATCAGGTTGTGAGCGTATCCCTATGCCTTTAGGTTCGGTGTTAAAATGCCAATGTTGACGCTAAGCGCACCAAAACTACTTTTTTTCTTCTTTTTTTTTGGTCCGGACCAAACGAACCGAACTACAAGTGTGAACACACCCTAACAGAGCAATCACACCAGAGTTCATTTCAATCGAACCAAACCTGCCAAGTTTGAACTTAGTTTGCTTTAACCCGGCCCCTCTACAATCAACTGCCATCTTGCATTCACATTTAAGTGCAACGCCCACATCTCAAAATCCAATCAACAATCAATGAATAGAACCATTTTTTCTTCGTTGATAATCTCTTACACGCAGATGTACGTCACAATATAGAAGAAAAGATCTGTCACTACTCCAGTTTCATCATAACATGATACCTCTCGCTCTCTCGCTCTCTCTTCAATGACTTCTGGATGTTGAAGTTCAGGTTGTGGTTGTGGTTCTGGCTCCGGCTCTGGCTCCGGCTTCCTGTTGTTGGCCTCCAGAACGGTCATTATAGATGTTGGAATGTGGGCTTGCTACAGAAACAGTAAAATATTTTATAATTAAAATTATTTTGAAGTAAAATTTTAATAACTGAAGTTCTCATCTAAAACACTGAATGCACAAACTTTTGCCACTTGTCATATATTCATATCAATGTTTTGGAATAGCATTATAATACAATTTGAAACAAATATTTTGCATGCTGTGCATGTTTCATGTATGAAGCAACAGTGTTATTTTAGTATTATTTACCAATATTTTGACTTTTTAAAAATAATTTTAGTGTTATTTTCAGTTTAAATAATATTATGTTCTTTTGTCATTTTTTCATTATAATTTTTATATTTTAATTTAGCTTTATTTTATTTCAGTTTTAGTTTAATATCACACACACTAAAAGTCAAGTTAAGAATAATAAATGTTTTTAATGTTTTTTTTAAAGTCTCTCGTATGCTCACCAAGACTGCATTTTTTAAAATAAAAGTATGGTAAAAAAGTAATAATGTAAAATATTAAGTTTCCTATTTTAATATATTTAAAATGTAATTTATTCCAGTTATGCAAAGCTGAATTTTCATCATAATCATTACTCCAGTCTTCAGCGTCACATGATCCTTCAGAAATCATGCTAATATGCTGATTTGGGCCTCAAAATATTTCTTATTATCATCAATGTTGAAAACAGTTGATACAGTTTAATTTTTTTTTTTTTGTGAAAACAATGATGCACCAGCATTCCACTGTTTGGGGTAAGTGATATTTAATTAAATGAATGAATACTTTTATTCAACAGTGTATATATTTATGATTTCAGTCTCAGTAGCCATTAATTTCCCAAATGGCACATATTTGGGACAAACCCTGACACTCTCGTGATACGCACTTGGTGAGGGGTGAAGGAGTGCACGTGCTGCAGGAGGGGCTCCCTCATCTCCGGGCAGCGCTCGAACACACTGGCCAATTGTGGAGGAGGCAGCTGGAGGAGAACATTGTAGGACTGGGGTTTGGTGCGCTGGCAGCACTTCACAAAGCCCTCCCACACTTTAGGATACTTCCACACCTGTACAATCAACCAACAGTCAATCAGTGTACAGGTTTATCAGCACAAGATTATAACATGAGAGGTGAGTCTGAGATTACTGGCATTGGCCAATAACTGTGCCGGTTGTGAGTGTGTGAAGGGTTCTGTCCGTTGACCTGTTTGAGGATGAGTCGAGCTAGGATGTTCATGACGAAGCCAGCCAGGCGAGGGTACATAGTGAGGGACTGGATGACCGTACGCATCAGCAGTATGGGGAGAGGAGTCTGCTCCATCAACTGCTGCATCACCACCGCCAGCACCTCGGACGTGTACACGTTCTTCTCCCCAAAACACAGGTTCGTGGCTACAGACCAGGGGGAAAGAACAACAGCAAAAAACATTAAAAAGGGTGAGAAGAAAAGCAAAAGAGGGAATGAAAGCGTTCTCTCCACATTGGAGCCATTTAATGGGCATCTTTTCACATTTTGATTATTAATATATGAAATGTCATTTAAACTACACTAAATTCAACTAATTAAACATTCATACATACAGTATATAGCCACACATTCATATATCGAGTAGCGATCAAAAGTGATGTCCGAATTGACCATTTTCTTTATTTAAAATCAATTTTAAATATGAGGGAAGAACAAAACACAAAGGGCCAGATTTACTAACAGCTTGCTCCAGCGCAAACCCTCTTTTGTCGTTAAAAAACTAGTCAGGATTTACTACAGCCGCAGTGAAAAATGAGCGCTGAAAAGGTGTGGACACGGTTATTTTTGCGGCTGACATTATTGCATATGCATTTGTAGGAGTTTCCCTTTCAGACGCAACATTTATGGGAGGAGAGAATTTTTTAAATTACTAATTTAGTTTGTGATTTGCTAAGGTTTGCGCTTGTCAATTTACTGGTGTTTGCGCCATTATTTACCGCCCAAAAAAAGCACGTCTTAAACCTGACGCTAATTTGCGCTGCTCTTGGTAGATTGCGTTGGTCGTTATGGAAATTATCCGGCTGAGTCTGTGTTCTTTAATTTGTAAGTAAATCATGTGCAGAACTTTCCACTCCCATCAGCGCTTTTATGGAATTGCGCTCTCAAACTACTTTGCCCTGTTTAGTAAATCTGGGCCTAAACTTGGTAAAGGTATTATTTATCTAACAAAATTATTTAGCAAAAACAGCTACAGGGTTGATTTAACTATACAGAAAAAGTGCATCACAAATAAAACGGTTGACTCCAAGCACAACTACGCAAAATGCTTACAAAATCTTTTTTTTAAGCAATATTTGAATACATTGTCCCAGGCCAGACATAAATTATAATTATTATAAATAAATAAATGTATATAAAAGAGATGAAATCAGTAACGAACGAAGCATTTGACTATATATTTTAATTTAAAAAAATTGTGTAAAAGACTGGACAGGGATACCTTTGATGATTGACTTCATGTCACACTTGGAGGAGTCAATGTTGTGTAAGGAGATGAGGAGCTCTCCAGGAGTGAGTGGAGACATGGAGGAACTGCCCTCGCCTACAGAACAGACAATCCCTTTAGTTCACTACAATTCTACTGATCTACAGCTAAACATGACACTGAAATGACATCATTCTCAAAAGAACTTATAATACATAAAATACGAAGAAAACCACGTAATTTTGTTTTTATCAATATCAAAACATGCACCATGCACAAG